GTTTACTCAGATGAATCCCTATGTCTGTGTGGCAGTTTTTTAAATTTGAAAGTCACATATTTAATTGTAATGTTAAACTGTATAAACCCCATTTTATAAGTCACGTATATTAGGTTGAAGTAAACAATAAATATGAAAAATAAAGTGAATTAAAAAATTATAGTTAAAATTGAATTCAATCATAAACTGATTCGTATATTATATTAAGAAGTAAAAAGAATGATGAAGGAATACTTAATTACATTAAAGGAGCGGCGGGGATTCAGTAGAGGGCATGCGGCATGGCATGGGAGGATGGGGGGTGGGGGCGGCCTCTGTAGAAGGAAGAGGAGCATGAGCATGATAGCATTGCGGGGGGCAAGCGTGGTGGTCTGTCATCCCCCACCCTCCCATTTCCCTTTGTTTCCTTCCTACGCTATCGCCCTTCCCCCCTCTTCCATATTTCTCTTCATCACCCCTTCTCCATGCCCCCCCCCCCCCAAAAAGAAGAAGAGGAAAAACAGTTTCTAGTTCTGTTTATAAAGTATTAAGAAATTTTTATATAAATGTATAATTTTACTCTTCATTTATTATTATATTAATTTTATTTACATAAAATATAATATTACTATATATTACTGAGAGAATTTTAAAATTTTTTTTGTCTATGTGAAACATGTTAGAAGTAACTTATAAATAGGACCAAAAGAGTATACCAAGTTTAAAATAATCATCACTTCTGATTTTTAACACGAGTTAGTTAAAAATTTGATTTGATTCTAAATATAATATTTTAATTCACTTTATCTCTCAAATTTATAATATTTTCTTACCAGGAGATAATTCTAATACATATGATGAAAATGATAGTTTAGAAAAATTAACATATATTTATTATAATTAACCAATTTAACTAACTTTTTTTAATATTTTTAAATTAGTTATTTAGTTTTTATATTAAAGATCAAAAATAGTAAGATATAAAATTGGTAGACATCACTATTCCGCTCTTTATGTGTGTATATATAAATTTTGATTTAAAAATTTGCATATATTAAAGTAATAAGTTATTAACAATAAATAAAACCGAGGTTGAATTTCGGCCATCTAAATTTAATTTAAACAGATTGCTAATAAGTATAAAAATTCTTTTCAAGTATATCATTACGTTCTTCCTTAGTCACTTCTTCACTCATCACTGCCCACAGTCCACGTGGCCAGAGTTATCTGCTTAATTCGGCTTCTTAAAAGGCACTTTTGTGTTGCCCACTGAATTACGCCCTTCAGTCACAACTTACAACCACTCGTCATATTCAACTCATCATTCCGCACTCCTAACCCCCCCCCCCTCCTTTCTCTTTTTCCCTTTCGCTCTCCTTCTCACCCTCAATTGTCCAAGAGTCAAGTCTTTCTCTCTCTCTCTCTTTAAAATTAGCTTATACTTTTTTAATTTTTAATATAAAAGTTTGATAATTAATTTGTTTAGATAAAAAATTAATAAACTTAATTATTTATAAAAATGCACATCAGTTCTTCTAAAATATTCTGTTTAATAATTTGTCTTGAAACCATTCCTTAAAAAAAATTTTTATTAATCAATGTGAATAATTTGTAAAAAACTTATAAATATAAAAAATAAAATGAATTAAGAGCTTGTCTGGGTACATATACACCGTAGAATGCAAAATCAATTCTCCAATCTCCATAGACGAATCAAAACACCTTTTATATCCAACTCATTTGTTAAGAGGAGACGAGGGAGCAGTGTCGAGTAGATGAAGGGGAATATTCAAGTGTGGGGAGGAGAGGATAATGAGCAAACCAAATCTGACATCCATATATTTAGCTCTACTCGCTTATAAAGTTTTGCTGCACTACCAACTTCAGGCGGGCCCGGGTCCCCAGAATGAAAGCCCGCATGTCACGTGCCTCCATCGTGGAAAACATTTCCATGATAAATACTCATCGTGTAACTATCTTAATTATTATAGTTTATAAATGAGATATTATAATTAGGATCAGAGTTAGTATAAGACCTGAATGAAAAATTGATATTGGTTTTATACATAAGATCTAATTCATATATTTATAAATTTTTTCAATATTAATTCTATTGATATTTTTCTAATAATAATCCAATAGGAGAATGAGAGATGAAATTAAAGATGATGCTTGAGATATTTTAGAACAAAAATATTACATTAATTAATTTAATTAATATTATTAATCTACTCTAATCAATTAATTAGATATTATATTAAAAATCATATAAGTAAATAAATACGCTGGCAAGGCCAATGACCAATTGCCGGGGGGAAGTTGGGAGGGAGACAGGCCATTTGGGCTGTACTTGGGTCCGCAAGATCGAGTTTCGATTGGATGTGGTCCACTGCCCCACAATTCCCTGTGGACCCCTCATTTCCTTTCATCAAATGCATCACTGAACGTAAGATGCCCTTTAATCATTCATCAATTATCATTAACGGTGGGGATCCCGGTCGGGCGCTGAAACCACTGCAACAACAAACACGCCACCCATTATGCGGCTTTTAATTTTCAAATCTCATCCCTAACATCAAAATCTTTCCATTCTAACAAAAAGAATTAGTTTCTCGTAATGTTGCAAACCGATATGCCTTAAAGAGGATTATCTTAAATAGAATGATACCTGTACTTAACAGAAAAAAAATGTTTCTCCAAATATTTGTCCCCACATCCTTCATTTAGTCTGCCTCTGAATTTGAGTTTTTCCAATAATCTTACTACAAATAAATCCATCTCACAAATTATTTTAATTTAGATTTTGCAACGGAATTTCACAATTTTCATGGCCAATTCATTACATTTTTGTATCCCCCCCCCCTCACTTGTTAGTCTCGTTTGGTGCTGAAAATGTCTGTGCCTTGGTCAAATTTCAAACAAGCAACTTTTATCATAACAAATGAACCAAACAACTTGCATGTGAACTCAGCCACCACAAAAGACACCTTGCTGGAAGCAAAGAATGTATTATGTATGCCAGGTTTATAGTGTAGTTATCATATTCCTTTTTTATTTTTGCCAGCAGGGTAGTCATCACATTCTGTATGTTAGGTTGCATCCTATTATGTATTGCCAGCCAATTAATGTACCTTGTTTGGTCATTAAAAAAACTAGAAGCAGAGATTATTCCTAATTTTAATAGAATCACTCATCATCATCATCAGAAGCAAGTGGAACAAAAGGGCTTCGCAAAGTTTTATTTTTGGTGAGACTTCAATTGTAGACTTTTTTGTTGTTGTAATTTTTTAACTATCCTCATCATATGATTACTCACCTTGATACTATCATGCGAGCTCTACGTGTTGAATGTGTAAGCAAAATGTAAGTCTAAGAAAGGAAATTGGAAGAAAATTCAAGAGAAGGAGATAAAACTTAAAAAATACTCCTCCGGTCTTTAATATAAGATCCATTTAACTAATTTGATTAGATTAAGAAAGTTAGGTAAGTTAGCTAATTATAAAAAAAGTAACACATTTTTCCTAAAATACCATAATCATCTTTATTAATACCCTTCTCCTTCTTCTACTTGATTATGGTTGAGAGAGTATCCATAGGGATAATTTAGAAAAATAATAATAAATATAAAAAATGGGTCTTATATTTAGAACAAAAATCAACTCAAGAATTGGGTCCTATATTAAGGACAAGAGGAGTATAAACCAACATCGTCGGTGACCTGATTGCGCTGATATTTATATTTTGGGCCTTTTGATACAGTACAGACAAAGGGGCTCAAAGCCCAAATAACATTCAACCAGAAGCCAACATCCCCCCAAGCAGGCAAACCCATTCTATCTGCAGATTCTTTTTTTTTTTTTTTTTTGACCTGGCTGCCAGATTCAGAGCGCAATGAAGTATCCATGGGATCTAGAGATGCGCTTTGTTTCAAGAGATGAAGATCCACCTGCGGAGAAGGCTAATGATATATTAAGTATTTTAAAGACATGATGAAACATATAATATAATTAAGTACTCCTCCGGTCCTTATTATAAGACCCCATTTGACTTTTTATTTGGTCCTAATTATAAGACCCCAATCCATTTTATCTCTTATATTTATACATTTTTTCCCAAGATAATCCTTCTAATAATGATAGTTTTAGCCAATATACTTAATTAGCAAGGATATTTTAGGAATGACAACATTATTTATTATAAATAACCAACTTAACTTACTTCCTTAATTTCCTCAATAAGTCAATTGGGTCTTATAATTAGGACCGGAGGAGTATTTTATTTACTTTTAAATTTATTCAAATTAATCTATTAGAATTTTATATCAAGGAGCATATGTAATATATCATACGTATACAATTTGCTAAATTTTAGAAAAATAGTAAATTAAACTAATTAAATTTTATTAGTTAATTTTTTTAAAAAAACAAATTATTAGGTAAAATAGGACCCACTTAAATATTTTTTATTTTTCTTTTCATCTTCATTTTTTCTGCTCTCTGCGTATTGGTAAATGGCAAAAACTAGAAAAATTGAATTCTATTGTACCGAGCTGTTTTTTTCAGAAGTAAGATTGAAAAGAGATTGATCCAAACAAGACTCCATCTCTAATCACACTACCAACTCACGTTCTGCACTTTCCAATTCACTTTTTCATGTTCAAACGGTAATCCAAAAATGCTCTAAAAAATTGTAAATATGGAACGTCACGCAAAGCCCGTGAGAGCCATGAGGGACCTGATTATGTGACACGTGGCCAATGGCCATGACAGTTGATGATGAATTACTAATTAATGTGTAAAAATAGGGTATTAGAGGGGGTCCTAAAATCAAGGGGAACGTGAAACGTACCAATTAGATCGACCAAAAGGGACGGTGGTAGCCCCTAATCCTCGCCTCTCTTCCTTTGGCGCAAGCTTTTGTATTTATAATAAAAAGAATTTCCAATTTCACATTCACATAGCAACCATCTGAACACCTCCACCCCCCCCCCCCCCCCCCCCCCAAGAGAGAAAGCTAGCCACTCCACATTTCCAAAAATATGTCGTGGCAATCTTACGTAGATGAGCATTTGATGTGCGACGTCGGCGACGGTCACACCCTCGCTTCCGCTGCCATCACCGGCCACGATGGCTCTGTGTGGGCTCAGAGCGCTAATTTCCCTCAGGTCCTACGCTTTCTCTCTTTCATCCTCCCTTTCTGCATTTCCTTCACTCTGGTTCCCTAACAGATTACTCGTTTTCCCTGCGTTATTGTTTCATCCGATCACTCATGCTAAACCACAATGCAGTTGCACTGTCGTCTCTGATCGGTTTCAAATCGGGTGTCTCGTTATTATATGAGTCTTTTTGTTACAGGATCGCCGGATCTACGATCGTCATGGAAAGAGCATGTCATTTTCCTGAAATCAGTTTTTGATTGACGCTTCTTGAAATGTCTCTTCTGCTTTCTATTTTGATTAGAGCTTTCGACTCATACACTCACATATTCTGTACTATTCGACGTTGCTCGTTGTGATCGCTTTGCATCTAGATTTTATGAGTGCTTATGAGGTCATCGATTTTTCCGAATGCCAAGATTCATCTATTTAGGCTCTGAGAAATGCATCTCACCTTTGACTTGCTACTTCCTCCTTCTTATTCATATGGACGGGTGATGTTTTGGAACTTTACATTTGCAAATTTCATCTAAACTTATTTTTCACCATGCCTTATTTTGACTGTTGATGCAGGATTGAGTTGTTTATATTTGTTCCTTATTTCGTGACGATTGAGCTCTGAAGTTCTGATCCATCGTAATATCTTTTTTCTTTTTCAGTTTAAACCTGAAGAAATCAAAGATATCATGAAAGATTTTGACGAGCCAGGTCATCTCGCCCCTACAGGATTACATCTTGGAGGTAACAAATATATGGTAATCCAGGGAGAGCCTGGAGCTGTCATTCGGGGGAAGAAGGTAAAATAATTTTTATCATCAAAATTATTCTATCTCAAAGCAACTTTAGGAGCCTAAACTTCGGGACAAGATTTATGGTAACCTTTCTTACCACCTGCCGGTTCAGGACATCTGCCTTGGAACTGATGAATATTTCCAGAGCTTAAAAAGTCATCTTACCACTTCTGATTTTTATTCTGCATGTCTAAGACAATAATCATGCGCGATTCAGTATACTGTAACTTACACAAGTACCTCTTGAAACATATCGGTGGTCACTTGACTGGATATATCCTTTTGATAACTATCCTTCGATGTCGTCATATGGAAGGCAATTTCGATTGTCTCAGTTTAAAGGACATTTTTGGATCATGAACAATACATATGATGCAAGGCTTTATCCTTAAGTACCTACAAGATCTCAGCAACCAAGCGGTGAACTTATTTACCTGTTGAGCATGGCCGCATGTTTTCTTTTGATGTGGATTTTCTCCGAACTTAAATAAATTATCTATCCTCCATTCTGCTACGAATGATATGAAAATAATTCACTTGAATGTCATGAACATTTACTGTAATCGGAGAGAAATCTGGCTGTTATTCTGTAATTTTCCCTATATATTTTCTTTAGTCTCTGTATTGTTTGATGGAACTGACATTTGTGGATCGGGCAGGGATCTGGAGGCATCACCATAAAGAAAACCGGGCAAGCTCTAATTTTTGGCATCTATGAGGAACCTGTCACTCCTGGACAATGTAACATGGTTGTTGAGAGGTTGGGGGATTACCTCGTTGATCAGGGTCTGTAGACCTGATCTCCCGTGATTGGGATTTTGAACAGTTATTTTTTGGTACCATACTTTTTTATTTTTGAATTTTGCTATGCACCAAGATCTTCTACTTTTCATCTCCTCAAGTTGGGAGTTGTCGCAGATAATAACCCTGTGAGAATTTAACATTTATCTGTTGTTTGAATATTCTGATTTTATTCTGGTATTTTCAACAATCCGTGTGACTACTAAGCAATCCTCTCTCTTCTCTGTTCCTCCTGTCCGTGTGCTTAATTCTGTTTACCTTCCATTATTTAGCATTTTGCATTTAATATACACCTCAGCAACTCATGTGGCCACTAAGCCTCCCTATCTTAAACTTTTTTTTATCAAGATGACAGTTTGATTTCATCATTGTCCATACTCTACACCTATTCTGTCCACTTGCATTTGGTCTCATCTATTGGGCGGAGCCGAAAGCTAGAAGAGTAGGGGCGAGTTAGGTTACATTTTTTTTTCTTTTTCGGCTTTTTTTAATGGGTAAATAATGAAGAGTGAATTTTTTTTTCCAGAATTAAAGTATTTAATTGTAAATTTTTAATGGAAATATAAAAAATTAAATGGTATTTGAATCAAAGACAAATTTTGAACGAGTCACCAATTTTGTTGCCTACCCCTCGAGCCCTATTTCTGTCTTTAATTGCTGGACAACGGACGCTTACTTGGTTAGTGGCACTGTCTCCTAAAGCTCAGTTTAGTTTATTCTAAAGAGTGAAGACATGGTAGCTACATTTCAACCCAGCAAGTGACGGAAAACAGATAGCTACCTGCCCTGGTAGGCTGTTAATGGTCCCAGGAATGGAACATCTCTCTTAGTTATGAAGTATTGAAAATTTCTGTTGATAAAAATTCTAATTTGAGGTTTATTTAAATCATGTGACCTGCCTACAAGTCATGAAGGGATTCCCCATAGATTGACACTGTTTGCACCCTCATATATTGATGTAGGAATTAATTTATGAACATGGCCAGCTAGGTAAAAGGAAATTAAATTTTGAAAAATGAGAAAAAATGTAATTATTCTAAAAACCGTTCATTTCTTCTCATTTTGTCCCAACAAGTAGCTTTCTAAATGCAGGCTTTATTTCTATCCTAGTTGATCCTGATCCGACATTAGAAGTATATTGATTTTTTCCCAATAATACTTTTGTCTGTAAATACTGCATATTTGATTCCATTCATAAATCTATTTTCTTCCCTATAAGTTCTAGTCTTGCTATAATTCTTTTACCATAACTTCTTTTGGTAGGGGAAAAAATTATATAGACCATGCCCTTTCACTCTTTCATCGTCTCGTCCCCGGCCCCATGGTGCCGCCGGATTAGGACGAGCGTTGACCACTTCTACTCGGAAAAAAAAAACAAAAAAGCAACAAAAAAAGTATAAAACAATTGAACTCGTTCAGTGCAGCTAAGATATGGAACCATGCATCTTTTCCAGTTTTCCTTTCATTCAAGACAACTTTGAAAAGCATATTTTCTCTTCGAGATCTCTCCTTTTCTGGGGAGAGAATTTTGAAGGAAAACATTTGACTCCACATTTTTTGCCTCGTCCACTCTCTCCTAGTCCCCTCATGGTATCCAAACTGCAAAAATTTTACCTCCTATTTTTTCCTCCAAGGTCTCCCTTCCTCTTACTTTTCTCTCACCTCACCCTATCTAAACACAAGGTTAAAGTTCAAACTAGAAAAAATAGGAGTTGAATTACATATTCTGGCAGCCGTGAAGAGCTCCCCCCCCCCCCCCCAAAAAAACCAAAAAAAAAAAAAAAGAAGAAGCAAAGCCTTACATACAAAATAAATTACCAGAGATGTTACATTCATGTTTGCTACTTTCGCCCAACCTCTTGGCATACAAAAACTAGCAGCAAGAATGCTCTACAGCTGTTAAATTTTTTTTCCTCACAACAGCAGAGAGAACAAGTACTAGTTTACAGTTTTCTCAAGCATCCAACAGAAATATGTTTCCAAAATCATTATCTCAACCCACTTGGAAGTCAATAGCAGCTCACGCCTGAACATGCAAAGTCATGCTGCCCCCTTCAACTATCAAGCTTCTCAGGCTCCCGCACCACTCCATGCAAGGAAGAGAATCGTTACAAGAAGAAAACTGCAACCCCACGAGGTTGTTTCTCTCTGCGATGACGATGAAGTAGAAGACATTGCTGTTGTGTTACTTGCCATTGTTTTGTTGTTTCTGCACAAAAAAAGAGTGAAAAAGAGGATACGCATGTCAATTGTGGAGTCTCATGATAATTGTATACATAATTCGAGCTTGTCTTGAATTGTCAACTATTGAACTTACCCAGCTCTCATGTAAATGCAATTGTCATAGCCTGCAAAATTGATGATAAATGATAAGTTGCCCACAGAAATATTTTGACAAGAAACATATGCATCAAATACATTCCGCCACAGACTGTTAGTTTCTTCCAGTGTGACTAGGTGACAGTAGGAAGCTAGAGAAAGACTTCATTCGTCAACAGAATGCCGGTCTAGGTTTCAATGAATCAGTATATGATGACTCCAAAGCCAATAAGTATATCACAAACACAAACAGAATAAAAAGAAATGAAAAGAAAAAGATTCAAAAAAACAGATAGCAAAATGAAAAACAGAATTAGGGGTGGGTTGTGAAGAGCATACTTGGATCTTTGTCAACTTTTACACCTGTCCCACCAAAACTGCAAGCAACATCAGAAGCTCCATTCTGCTGGTAATAGCTATTAAAAGCATAAGAGGCATGAGAAACTAAATTGTCCGGCTCAAAACATGGCTGGCTCGGTTGGATAGCAGTACAGTCCACATTGCCAGGACCACAAGCCCAATCTATGGCATTCTGCAAGTCAATTTGTGAGGCCTTACTTGAAGCAATACACCAAGTTGTACCATTTGATCGGGTTACATTTGCCTCTGTTGTCATATCAATGGCACCTTTTCCAGTGAAATCCAGATTATACACACTTGTCTGATCTGGATAATATAATCCCCAATTCCTCTCAGATTCCAAGCCAGGTTTTCTGTTTTCATTGAACAACGAGAAAATGTAGACATCTAGCTCCTCCCCAGGCCTCGCGGGAGTACCAGTGTTGTTGATAACATGCCTTATCAGATTGGTATTATATGTCTGAGCATTATCGGGAGTGGCAGCAGTCTCCTTAGGAGAACCTTTGGAAGGCCAGCCTGTTTCAGTGACCATTACATTAATTGTTCTGAAATTTAAAGCCATCAGTGCAAAATAAATAGCATCAATCTGGGCATCAAACATGTTTGTGTACAGCAAACCAGTGTTTGGATCAATTACTTCTGAGGATGATTCAAATAGTGCATAATCCAAAGATACTTTTTTTGGGGAATCTCGGAAAGCATAATAAGGATATATATCAATCATAAAAGGTGACTTATTCTCAGCGAGAAATTCCAGCATTGGCTTCAAGAAATATGCATGGCTGCTATTAAAGGCCCCAGCAGAAGGTGGGAATGATCGGGACAAAACCCCAAGGGAATGGGTGCTGGAAACTTTAATCTTTTTATGCAGGCCAGCTTTCTTGAGTGCATTAAGGACATTTTTCATGGCAGGTACTACAAATGCAGAGGCATTGTTGGGGGCTTCAGTGACTTCCAATCCAACAGTTATGTATGTAATCTTAGTGGCCGGGTAGTATGGAAGGATACTGTTTTTCAGCCAAGTGTCTGCATTTGATTGGAACTGTGAGAGTGCAAGTAAATCTGAATTCGGAACCCCAACCATTAGTTCAACGCCAGTGTTAGCAAAGGCCTTGAGAACCTGTATATTAGAATCATAAATCCTGATATACTTAATTTTATGAAGTTGAACCAGCTGAGCCACCTTATCGGGTGTAGGGAGATCATCAGCATTTCTTCCATAGCAAACCCCAACAAAACTCCCGGAGCAACAATCTGACAAAACAATTTCACAAGAATGTAGATCATGTTAATTGATTGTATGTGTCTCATACACAAGCAACACGTGCAGTTTTTTGTGGATACAGCCAAACAAAAATTTCCACATTTGTTAGTCAACATATAGTCAAGCTTCCCCACTACATAATTGAAAACAAAAAAAGAACTTTAGAGCTTAAATCAATCACATCATCAGTTAATAACTAATTTTTACATATTCAATGAAAATTATGTAATCAGAGTGGATGCTCAGCCCAACATATGAACTATGTCATATAATAAACTGATTACCCACTTCAAGGGATTGACGTCTACGAAGATTACAATTTATCTTCTTCACACGATGTGGTTAAATTCTCTAATCTAATTTAGGTTTTAGTATCTTGACCTATCTTTCAAAAATGGCAGTATTCTGCCCTCATCCTCAGTACCCTTTCTCAGTTTGTTCACACATTGCACCCCTCTCCGATACATGCAACATTCATCAGATTCAAAAATTTATCAGTTATAGAAGATAAAGGTTAAAAAAAAAAAAAAATCCTCCTTAAAGATATATGTATATATTCTATGGTTCAAGACCTAAATGTTCCAGTTTAGTCGTTCACGTCAATAAACAACCCATCTACGATATATACTAGTGTGGTCACATTGTCGTTCATTTGCACACCGGGCAAAACAGAGGAGTCAACAGAAGAAAGGTGCGTATGAGTCTTCAAAATTTCAGATTTCCAAAGGAAGAAGGGACATAATCTAACAGCAACGACTCATTTAGTATATATAACTCCAAATTTTCAGAAGCTGACTTAAGTGCCATTGCAAAATCTGGCGGAATCAGTGTAGCTGGAGAAAAGGGGGAAATTTCTCAAAGCGATGGGTAAATTTAGTATACATAAAATTTTCAGAAGCAGAGCTGAGGTTCGGGAAAAACTGTCAAGGCAAAGTCTGGCAGAAAGTGTACCGTTCGAGAAAGGGGCATATTTCTCAAAGCAATATCCATATTAACAGTCCCAGAAGCTAAGCTGAGCTTCAGAAGAAAACTGTCGCTGCAAAATCTGGTGGAAACAGTTTGATATGGGGAGGAGCACCGACATACTTGCATGCAATGTTCGAAAGCTGTAAAAGCTATTTTCAGAGAATATATATGACTGCTCCAAGAAAATGACGATCTGATTCAGAAAAAAAGTCGCCCCAATAGAAACCCAGAAACTGAACGCACTATAACCGAAAAAACATTCTTATCTGACGACACATACACAAGGTAGATGCGATTATGGAGGGAATGAGTACAAACCTAGAAGTATTAGCAAAAGGAAAGCCGCAAAGATGAGTCTGGACCCTCTTGCCATTACTTCCGTCTCTTCTCTTCTCTCCTCTCGCTTCTCTGGCAAGAAGACCGGCAAGTTCGCTTCTTTCTTCTTTCTTCTACTTATTGCTCAACTCACCAGAGCTCCAACGTTCCAATGCTCAGAAAAGTAACGGGTACTGTCGTTCTGTCCTTTTACTCTACAAGTGGGTCGAAAACAGAGGCCCCTTATTAGCCTATTAATAATTAACCTTTTGTTTTTAGTCGCCCAATGCCTTGTGTTGAGGAACAGCAATTCAGTGTGTCAGCGTAAGGCAACGAACCTCAGGTGTATTTTATGAATTTTGGTTTAGAAATGCTTCTCGATTCCGGAATTCAGCAAGTCTGTCCTGTTTCCCACTATTTTTATGTGCCCATCTGCAGGAAGAAAGGGAAAGGGTCAGAAAAGGGATTCGGGAGGTTAAAGCAGCCTCCTCATATTTTTTCCCCAGAAGAATCTGTGATAATAAGGCGAAACGCTGACACTGTGACACAACAGAGAAAAATTAGATAATAATTATGATCAAATTTCGATCATTTTGTACAAAATTAATAAATGAGGTCAATTAAATTATTGGATTTAGGGTTTGCGCTCAGCAAAGGCAGGTAGAAAGTTTCCATCAACGATGTCCTAAGGATGATTGATTAGTGATGTATTAACTGAACTAGGATATGGAATCTCAGAGAACTAAGAAGCCATCAAAGAGGTGTGAATACTAATGATGACCAAGTCAAAAGCTTTCCTAGAGCTAGATTGACAGAGGACCGCCAGCTACATATCAACGATGATTAAATTTTGAAGAAATCAAAAAAAAAAATCAAATGACTCAAATATTTAGGGACAGAATTGAAAAAAATTGCAGGTTGTGAGTATACTTAGAACCTTCCCATTAGAATCCGAGTGAGAAGAATGTCAATATGATCATACAGCTCCATATTTTAGCGCATAATGGGCAATCATTTTGACAAGGATACAAAAGATTCGTCGTAGAAGGGAAATCGTGAGTAAACAAATGTGTCCCTTTCGTAAAAGTAATTTAGTACTCCGGAGCCCAGAGACCATATGAAATTTGAAAAATTCGAAAAAATAGATTAATAAATAGTAAAGTTTTCGAGATTTTATTATATGATCTGAGCAGAGAATTACTACTCTCACACACACAGACTATATAGATAGATAGAGATATTATATATGGAGGAAAAGGAGGAGGGTTCTTTTTGTTTTTGAGCTCATTGCTGATCTGTTCATTTCCAATCTCATGATAGTTTTCTTTACCTTTCTCTTGGTTTGTTTCTTTCCTTCGTGACAACACATTCTGATTTCCGCCGTATTTTATTCTCTTTTCCCAACCATCATTGCGTCCAGCATATGAATGTAGCTGCAGAATATTTTATTATTAGCATATTGAATTTAAGCACAGTTAGAATCTTATTTGTAATAATAATAAGGAAAAACTGCAATAAGGTCCTCCTCCTTAAATGAATTAATCATAAGCAGTTTATCTAAAAATAAAAATATAAATTACCGCAGGATCAGAGGATCTAGTTAGGATGTTACCTTGTCTTCGGATGCTCTGATGACAGCCCAATCTCATACGGATACATACTGCAGAAGCGTACGTGCATGTTCAATCAGTTATATTTTTCAAATAATTTAGTGATTTGTAAATTGAAATCGCGTATTACCATATTATTATTAGGAAAAATTGCAATAAGATTCTAGAATTAAATAAAAAAAATTTCTTAAAATCATCAAATTATTTTAAAATCCTAATAAATTTTATTGGAAGAGAATTTATTTGTTAAATTACCAAATAATCCTTTTTTTAAAAGCGTGCGTGAATTGTCAAGTGCATAAATTGTCAATATCTACTATGATAGTTGTTAATAATTATACTTTAAGTTGTTAACCACTGCACTTTAAATTATTAATACATGCTTAAAAAATAAGGATAATTTGATAATTAAACAAATGAAATCTCTTGCAATGAGATCCTTTGAGGCTTCAAAATAATTTCTTGATTTTAATAAAATTTTAATTTTCAAATATACTGAAAGTCATATCGTAACAAGCTTTTTCATTGGCATTTTATTCAAACTCATTTTCTCAATTCATACTCCTTCGTTTCCATTTATAAAACATGTTTAGAGCAAATTGCAAATATCAGTGACTTTCATTAAATACAGTTAAAAACTTTTAACTTTTCGAAAAGGGAAATATATAAACTTAAAAAATATTTTTCATACAATACCAAATCATAATTAACTAAAACAATTAAAGGTGTTGTTGTAACGAGATCATTGATAAATTATTTTTTTAAGAAATATTTTATATTATAAAATATGAAGTTACTTAAGCAAATACTACTATTTTATAAATTAAAAAACTTCAACAATTTATAAGAGCACTGGGAGCAACGCATGTGCCACCTTCTGTTTTAAAATTATTAATACTACTTTTGATCCTAACTATAAGAGTTAGTTGACTAATTTAATGAGATTAAAAAAATATATTAAATTAACTATTTGTAATAAATATGTGTTGTCTTTTTTAAAATATCATTGCTAATCAAGTGCATTGGCTATAACTATTACCAATATTAGAAGAACTATCTTGGAAAAAAATTCATAAATATAAGAGATAAAGTGGATCAAAATTTTATATTTAGGATCAAATTAAAAATCAAATAAGATTTTATAAGTAATATTAATTATTAATGCCTCCAAAGTCCAAACACGTGGAGTGACGAAAAAGAAAACGGTCATAATCCCCTTCACACTTCATAGTGCGCGCCTGCGCGGCCTCCCTTGTTTGAAATATATTCCTTTTTTTTTTTTTTTTGGGGTAAAGTCCAGTGTTTGATCTTTTGCTTGCTGGCTTTAACGTCTCTTTTCTTTCTTCGACTGCGAAAAATCCACCATCTTGAACCCTAAACCGCAGAAGTCCCTGATCCATAACTGCTGTACCGAGAAAGATGAAGACCAAGACGCCATTAAAGCAACTCAAACTCGCTGTCCCTGCTCAAGAAACCCCCATCTCCTCATTCCTGTAACTTTACTATCACATCCCTTTCTCCCTCGTTTTTCTATTTCACGATTCCATTTCATGTTCTTTTTTTTTAACTACCTGATTCTCTCATAAATTTTTCTGGTTTTCCTTCAGTTATAAATATCTTCGAGTGATTCTCCCTCTCCTCCTCTATATTATTACTGACAACATGCGAATTCTGTCAACTGTAAAACGTTCGCTTCTGAAAATGTGGAGTGAATGTGCCCGTTAAAGGATCTAAAAGCCTTTGATCTAAAAAGGCTAAGATTTAATTCTCATCATTCTTTGGGGGACCTTCATTGCATTCCCTTTTCCAGATCTTTGGATTAATAGCGATCAAATGCCTGAACTTTAGCACTTTCTTTCCTCAGAATGTGAAGAGTTTGGAATTGATTTTTTCTTTCTGTAATGTCGATATTTTTTTTAATTGTGGAGTTAACCAAATTAATGTCAAATTACCAGGACTGCAAGTGGCACATTTCATGACGGGGATCTGCTTTTAAACCAGAAAGGATTGCGCCTCATCTCAGAAGAAAAAGAATCGCGGGTAAGTCGCTCCTGATTCATGGATTTATTATATAATACATTTTACACAATTACTCAATTATGTTGACGAAAATTATTATTTTCCCCGTAAATTAGAATCTAGTGAATACCCAAAAATAGTAATAAGTGAAGCCAGACCATGCCTTATGGAATAGCAGCATAGCACCCCAATCCCCCTTCTCACCATCAGAATAGGCGGGTTTGGAAATTGGTTCCTACCAAATAATGCAAGTAGACAAAGGAAACTTGAAGCTCAGAGTTTCCAGGCAGAGTTCACAATATGAAGAACCTCTATCAGAGGTAAGGTTTATTTGTTTGGCAGAAAAACTCTTGGCAGAGTATAGGAGATACACGGGTAAATGGAGAGAAGTCTTTAGGTGTAAGGAAGTGTGTGTAAACCCTGTAGTATTGGGTGTGGTGAGTAAAAATTTTGGTACTTTGGAATGATTTCTGGTGATCCGTACTTAATTAGCAATGTAATCACTAGAAGCATAATATTTGAATAGGAGGATTTTCATTTTAAATTACTGTAACCGTTGTACTTCTGTGAGAGTGTGTTGGCTGATCATGTAATAATCCGTGATTTATTACCTTTCTTCGGTTTGCTCAACATTAGATGGTTTTGCAGTGTATCCTATGTGAATTTATTATGACCAACAATGAAGGGTTGATTTGAACTAACACATGTTTCTTTATCTTGTAATTTGTGTGCGAGAGGGCTCCATTTACCATTTTCCCCAACAAGTTATGCCTCACTCCTTGCCAAGCCAAATTGGTACGACCTGAGTTAATTAAGAGATGACCTGACTGAAGAACATTTTTATTTAATGCTACTAGCCCATCATTTTTCGTAGTTTATTTTTTTCTCTGATGATTGAAGGAACAGCTTTGTTGCTTTAGTAGAATGTAGAATAGGAATTATACGGTTTAGCTTTGATCAGTAAGTTTGTGGATTATGGTTCTTTCTACTTGATTCCCTTCTATTTTTTGGGTGTTGGCCACCATAATTCTCCGCGCATGATTTATGAATTTAATACGTTTCCCCTACATGCTTAGGCATCTTATCTTCTTACTTACAACTTCTTTTTTGTGTCTCCCTATGTGCCTTTTTGTACAGCCTTCTGATGGTAAGGAACTGGATTTTGACTTCACACTGGAAGACCTTGAGACCATGAAAGTGATTGGAAAGGGAAGTGGTGGTGTAGTACAACTTGTTCGCCATAAGTGGGTTGGAAAATTATTTGCCTTGAAGGTTTGTTATTCTTAAGGAGTACAATTTTCTGTATCATGAACTTAACAGAATACTTAGTAGAATGCATTAGAAAATGAATAGCGACTATGGTTTTTCGGTTTTTCACATGCAAGCAGTAGATGCCTCGTGATATGTGGATATGGAGGTAGTACAGTTTTAGACTGGTGTTCAGTGGGTCTCGCGATGACACAAGTGCTTTAGCTTGAGTAGTTTAGTAAACTGGCAAAGCCTAGTTGTAGTTTCTTCTCACCAAAGTAATGACAAGCTATAGGGGGCACAAGTGTAGTGGTTTGTTTTGTAGTTATCTTATCTGAAGCTGCTTGCGCAATCAAATTAAAGATTAAAGATGATCAGCTAAAGAATTGGAAATATGTTAAATAGTAAATATATGTTGACACATGTGCGTTCCGAGTGTATCAACGCTAATGACCTTTATACTGAGTCTCTAATTTGCTCTCACTTCTTTCATGAAAGAAATTATGAGTTCATACTGGATTCTTGTACTTTTGCTGGGCATTACATTATGAAACCAAGCAAAATAATTTGAAAATACTTTCAACCCAGTAATTCAGATTTTCCTATGATTGAAAAACTTCTGAATTGCAGGTTATTCAGATGAACATACAAGAGGAGATTCGAAAACAGATTGTACAGGAGCTGAAAATTAACCAAGCATCACAGTGTCCCCATGTTGTAGTTTGTTACCACTCTTTCTACCATAATGGAGCCATATCTCTTGTGTTAGAATACATGGATCGTGGTTCTCTAGCGGATGTAATCAGACAAGTTAAAACAATTTTGGAACCATATCTTGCAGTTGTTTGTAAGCAGGTAAACCGGGTTGTCTTTATATTTCTCGTTGAACTGGGCAGAATAGTCCAGTCTATTCTGTCTATTTATTGATTAAATCATTCACGTTCCAGGTCTTGCAAGGTCTTGTTTACTTGCATCATGAAAGACATGTAATTCATAGGGACATCAAACCGTCCAATCTGTTAGTAAATCACAAAGGGGAGGTTAAGATTACTGATTTTGGTGTTAGTGCTATGCTGGCCAGCTCAATGGGCCAACGAGATACATTTGTCGGAACTTACAACTATATGTCGGTATGTGACATTTCTTTCTTAATTTTTCTTCCATAATCAGAAGAGATTGGGTTGTCAGCTTGCAACACCACCTAGATGTGGTATGATCACTGTATTGATTAACTTGCGCAGCCAGAAAGAATCAGTGGGAGTACTTATGATTATAGCAGCGACATCTGGAGCTTGGGCATGGTAGTACTTGAGTGTGCCATAGGCCGTTTTCCTTATATACAATCTGAAGACCAGCAAAGCGGGCCTAGCTTTTATGAGCTTTTGGAAGCAATCGTGGAAAGTCCTCCACCTTCTGCTCCGTCTGATCAGTTCTCTCCAGAGTTCTGTTCATTTGTGTCATCCTGGTAATTGTTTCTTGCTGTGTTCCAGTACCAAATATACGGAAATATGACACTTTCATTAGTGTTTCAAATGTTAGACTCCAGTATAGAAATTTGCCAGCAATGTTTGAGTTAACTTTTTGGTGTGGTCGCAGCATACAAAAGGATCCACGCGACAGATTGACATCCTTGGAGCTTCTGGTTAGTAAATTAGTGCATCTTTCTTTTCCTTCTATTTTTTTGTCTTTAAATTAATCACACTTATGAAAACCCTGAATGCTGATTATTGTATCCCATTGTCCTTCCAGAGTCATCCTTTCATAAAAAAGTTTGAAGACAAGGATTTAGATCTTGGGATTCTGGTAGGCAGCTTGGAACCTCCTGTAAATTTTCCTAGATAACATGTCCTACAAAGTATGTGTAAAATTTTTAATGTGACAGCCATGAGTCTATATATGGTAACAGATCAGTGAATTCTTCTATTTTCACCGATGTAATGCTGCAAATGATGATACCAGCATCAGTCCTGGGCTTGTTAATTCCATTGACAGTGTCCCTTCACCCAAGTTTTGTATAATAGGTGTTTGCATTGAACTAAACCGGTTTATTTCAGTTTTCCCCCTATTTCCGTATCATAATCTCCGTTTGACCTGTTCTACCAAAATCAGCAAGAGGGGGTGCTCTCATGACCTGCAAATAATAAAGCATAATAGAGGACTACTCTCTCCGTCCGAAATTGTAATGCATTTTTCTGCTTCTTTTTTTTCGCGTTCAAAATAAAGGCATTTTGATGCTTTTAGGAGTAACTAGAAATTTTTTCGATGCACGTATTAGCATATTTGATTAGATTTAAAATTTTAATAAATTACATTATCTAAGATACTAAATATTTGCTTCTAGTGGGGGTATTTTTTTATAGGGAGAATGGCAATTAGGTCCCACTTAAGGGAATTAAATACAAAAAGGTTCCTTGAAATCATGAAATTATTCTGAAGTCCCAAGGGACTTTTTTACAATAAATTTTATTTGTTTAAGGGAAAATTAATTTGCCAGTCCTTGTAATTTTACCTGATTTTGAATCAGGTCCTTATACTTTTTTTATTTTTTATTAAATCCTTATTATATTTTTTTGTTTTGATGGAAGTCCTTCCGTTATAACACTGTTAGTTTAAGTTTATATGGCACGTCTTCTTGCTCAGCTTCTCCACCACTCCTTCATACAATCTACAACTGATCAATATTTTCTCTCTCTTTCTGTAATCATCGTCTTCTTCCCCCCTCTCCTTCCCAACGACACCCCCCAATCTCCTTCTTAGCTACTCTTCCATTCTCACTCTCTCTCCTTTCTTTCTCTCTCTACATCTTCACCGCCATGAGAAGCTCTTCCAAGAGAAACAATTTCTCCCTTTTCCACATGCGCTCTATGTATTCATGAACTTGGGTCAAGAGCTGATGAACATTTATTTATGAAAAATTTCTCACATACCATTTTGAAACTGCACATGTCTAGAATTAAATATCACCGATGACAAGGTTAGAGTTGGCTACATGGGTATAATAAAAAATACATGAGGAGAAATCCAACGTCATGATTAAATTAAGGAAATGAAGATACTACTAGTAGAGAGAAAGGAAGGAAAGAAAGAATGGAAGATGAGAGAGAAAAAAGAATGCGGACGCTGTGGGTGTCGTTGGGAAAGGTGGGCAAGAATTGAAAGACGTTGATTGTGAAGAGAGAGAGAGAGAGAGAGTAGAGATTGCTCGCAATTGGGCGGAGGAGTGAGAAGGAAGTTGAGTAGGAAGAGAGATCAGAGAAGCTGAGTAATTAAGAAGAGAAGACGCGCCAATAAGCCTAAACTAACAGTGTTATAACAGAAGGACTTCCATCAAAACAAAAAAATAATAAGGATTCAATAAAAAAGAAAAAAACTACAAGGATCTGATTCAAAATCAGGTAAAACTATAAGGATTGGCAAACTAATTTTCCCTTTGTTTAATTACCAAATTATCTTTTTTTTTTTTAGATTTGTATTGACAACTGAAAGAGTAGTAGTTGACAACTCAGGGTGCAATGATTGACAACTATCGCGGCTGGTTTGACAACATATTTTCTCAGCATATCACATTATAAGTTGTTAAACTAGCCGCGATAGTTGTCAATCATTGCACCCTGAGTTGTCAACCACTGTTCTTTTAATTGTCAATGCAAATTTAAAAAAAAAAAAGAAGAAGGGTAATTTGGTAATTAAATAAATAAAATTTAATGTAAAAAAATTCTTGGGACTTTAAAATAATTTCATGATTTCAAGGGACCTTTTTATATTTAATTTCCTTAAGTGGAACCTAATTGCCATTTTCCCTTTTTTATATATTTATTTTAATAAAATTTGAATTAGAGATGCGAAATTTATGGGGAATAGATAAAAATTTGAAATTACTTATTTATTTCTCTATTTAAGCCCCCCATTGACATTTAATTTAATTTAATATATTCAAATCCCAATTAAGATACTATTCAAATTCAAAATTAATTATTAATTTTTTTATTTGAGCCTCCATTTGAAATTGTATTTATTTATAATGTTTCCCATTTAATTCAATATATTCAAATCTCAATCAAGAAGTTATTTAAATATCACTAATTGAATATATTCGGATCTTATAATTTTATAATCTCATACCCAACTCATTTTTAAACGAATCGGGTATTACATGTTTTCAAAAATATAGTTGATTGATTGATGATGTTTATTAAAAAATGTCCTTAATGAATATTTAAAATTAATGAGATTTTCATATTTATTTGTGATAAAGTTACCCTATTAAATAAGGGTAGGCATAAAAAGAGTGGCAATTTTTAATGGTGTTAACTTTCTTAAGGGAATAAAATAAGTTAAAAGGGTGTTGTAGTTTTGAACGAGCGGGGCAGGAGTATAGTTTTTATAGCAAATTCCATGAGACGATAACATAGCAATAAATAGTGGGTTTGTGAAGAGATCATGGACTAAAGGATAATTATGAGTGAGTTTGCAGGTTTTGGAGGGAACCAAAACACATGTAGCCAAGGTGGTGGAAAAACCATCAAAGTTCCATCCAATTCATGTAAGACAGGTGAAGGCCGAAACCATTGAATTGTAACTGGGGTCACAATCCAACTGGTAGGCACCGATTTGACATATTAAGCTAATTATCACCCTCACGTATATATAAAAACTATTTTTAAATAAAATGTATACTCACTAATTGATTTATGCCAAAGTAAATATACTTGAAAATTTTGTGTCCAAGCAAAAGAAATAATTTCAAACGTGATATATCTCACAACAAAAGCTAGTGGTGGCAATTTGATTGCATCCCCATCATGAGTGGTGCCCAAGTCAACCTCCTTATCTCCAATATCCTCATCATTTTCATATCCTTCATTCCTTCTCGTACCAATCCAGCTCATTCCAAACTGCACTTTTTGTTAACGTGGCTTTTTTAAACTTATCTTCTTTTACACATCCTGTGCCTATTATTATTTAAATAAATATCATAACATCCTTGGGCGTAAATTATGGCCTTTTTCCCGCAAAATTCCATTTTTTATCATAATAAAAGGTTTCTGAGTTTATTATAAACGTTTATTCGTTCCATATCTATTTAAATATATTTTTATGCTCATCATACACGTATGGTGAATGTTTGGTGGATTGGAAACATTCCACCCGTTGGAAGTTGCCAAGTAGGCTAATTCTAAGGAAAATGTTGGTACATCAAGAGGCTAGAATTGTTTGTTGGGAGAACTACTTATCAAAAAAATAAAATAAAAAAAGGTAAATTAGCATTAAAAAAAAAGGAAATAATGGGAGGAAGCTCATAGAATCCCTCAATTCAATTTTAAGGACTGCGAAAAATTATTTTTGAAAAAGAACGAAAAAAAAAGGAAAAAGTAGATTGGCTCTTTCTTGATAAGATAGGAATGGAGGTTTAGCTGAAGAGAATGTTTGGTGATTGCTCTTCTTACTCTTCTTCTTCTTTTTTTTTTGGTGAATTACTCTTTTTACTCTTCTTATACAAAGAATACACCGAACAAACAGAAAAGATTCTAATCATTCTATTAGGATGGTTTTTACCCTTGAATAGATAAACCCAACTTATTTATTCCTGGAAATTCGGCAGGACAGCAATTAAAAAAGAAAAGGGAAAGGAAAAGGAAAAAAGATTCATAAAAAGATGAGAATATACCAGTCTGTCATGGCTTTATGAAGCAAAGTTGGCTAGATGAGGACCCCAGTTTCACCCGGCAAATTTTATTTTATTTTATTTTATTTTTTCTAAAAAAGGAGCTGGGACGGTGAGATGACTAGGATATGGATGCCTCCAAAATGTAGACCTTATCCTCTATCCCACTAGTTTAAAATTGGCCCCTATTTTACACCAGATAACGTGTTTTGATATCAAGACATATCGGTATATATAATTATGACTTATCTATATTATCTTCATATGTAAATGTCATCAGAATAATAAATTGGCCAAGCTTATCCAACTCTTCATTGGTAATCTATATAAGCTCCCTCATTATTTTATCTGCAAAACCCAACTGCTCTTTGCACTTGATAGTTCATGTGGTTTCATCTTTAGAAGCAAGATCTTTATCTTCTCCTTCTTGTCTCTCTTCTTCTTCTCCACGACCAATGGATCAGAAGGCAAATCAGATGTTTATAGAAATGAGCATGAACTGCAACTGGGTTGGTAAGGAATGTGTTGAGGATGATAATGATATTTGTGAATCGTCATCCATTGGATCTGTCTCAGAAGATTCAACAGGTTCGGTGTGTTCATCTTCTTCATCAGAATTGACGGAGGAGGCATCCTCTTCAACAAACTATCTGTCAACTTCAGCTTCATCTTCACACTCGAGTGGGCCTTTATATGATGTATCAGAGCTCATGACTCATCTGCCAATAAAGTATGAGAAATTCCCTTCTCTTGATCCAATTTTCTGAAATTGCTCAAGTTTGAGTGTATATATGCTGACAACTAGTTCATCTTATTTGCAGGAGAGGGCTATCTGTGTTTTACCAAGGGAAGGCTCAGTCTTTCACGTCCTTAGAGAGGGTACAGAGCTTAGAAGATCTTCCTAAGAAATGTACACCTTACAGAAAGAAAATCAAGTCATGTAAAAGCTATGGAGCTGATTTGGATAGCCACAGAAACATATCATACTCTCCAAAGGCTACAATATCAAAGAGAGCTTCAAAGCCATCTTTTGCATCTTCTCTCCACAGAAGAGGGAGTCTCCTGGGAATGCATAGGCCTTCCATTGCTGCTCACGAAACTCATAAGATCCCAACCAGTTAGAGATCCTTTTGTCATAAAATCCTTTTATGTCCAAAGTTGAGCTGTCCTTTTCCCCCCCTCTTTTGGCGGATCCTTTTGTCATAAAATCCTTTATTTGATTCTCACATCTTCATCTCTTTATATATATAATTCTTTGAGGAGTCATACTGTTATTTATTTAAGTTATGATTTTGCCATGCTTTAGATGGCGACTTTCTGTATGTTTCAGTTATCATTCATTATGATGACTCATCAACTGATTAATGATTAGCAGCATGAATTGGGAGATATCGTCACATATAATACTTAAAAATCGGTAAAGAAACTATTTTGGAAGCACAGATTACTATCAGATCTGAACTGAATTTATCCCTAAGCTAAGTCCTCATCCTTTAATCTCACTCTAAGTAAAACTTTTTCTAAATTCTGATCAATTTTTCGCTTGTAACTTCCAAGATGTCCCGCCTATATGAAGTAAAAATGACTGTACGATGGCAGGCTTTCTTCTTCAACCCTTTTTCTCATGAAATGGACACAACCAGCTGCACTGAATCAACAAATGAAAAGAATATCGAAGATTACACGTAATTGTAAAGCTGTCAATTATTATATGAATAGCTGTGTTTGTTGTTGTCCGTTTCTATATTTAGTTTGCCTCACGTAGTGTTAGATTCCTTGCGTGTTATACTTGCTTTCGTTCAAGAGTTTTTATTCCATGATCTTCAAATAAAGGGATCATGTCCCTCTTTATTGGGAACTTAAAGGAAATTAAAGCTGTCAAACTCTTTAGAGATGCTTGAAGATTATCTGCCTCACCAAAACAGCTTAAGTGACTTGATTAGACACATCCACCTAGACTTCTGTTTCTAATATTTCCTCTGCTATTTTCTCTTCTTAATTTTTTTTTCCCTGCTTGTGCTTGCACTTCTTTTTGAGTTTCAGAGATATGATGTTCATAATCTTTATTCTCCCCCCCCCCTTTTCTTATCTCTTTTCTTTTCATCTTTCGTTTTTTTTTTTTTGCTCTTCTTTTTGCCTGTATTTTCCTGCTTTTTTCTCTCGATGTTTTTTCACCAAACCAAATGACTCTTAGTAGTTGATGCCATCTCAAATTCTTTATGTTGACTATGTTGGACGATTGTCTGCTTCACCAGGATAACACAAGTCACTTGATTAAGCACATCCCAAACACATATACCTATTATATTTTTATATTACAAACGAGATCTTATAATTAGAACCGGAGGTGATATTATTATGTATGAGACTTTTTTTCCTAATAAAATAACAATTCATGAACAATAGAAAGATTCTCTCACGAAACCAAAAAAGGGGGGAAGTTCTGGCCTAGCTAGACTCAATCGATCGCCACTTTTGACCTGGAAAAATTCTTTTCGCAGTTTTTCTCTGTGAGACAACTAAGATTGTTCCGGCAGCATGATTAACGTTTAATTTAGAAGTTTGCATAATTTTAACCCTTTGCAAGAAATGCACTGCGCGATCTAAGATTGGGGAAAATATTAACTTCTATGTGGGTTTTAGGTCTCTAATATGTACTTTTCTAATGCTATCTGATTTCTTTCATAATCGTCCAACCTCTCAAATATTTTTATTTTTATTTTCATCATTAGAGTTTACATAAAATTAGTGAAACTTCGATGGTGGAAATTTTTTTTGTGTGATTTTTATAAGAAAATACTCTAAAATTGTGTAATTTTTATTTTTTTAAACCTTAAAAAATAAAAATAAAAAGTACTACATTTTATTATCAAAATGTTGCTAATTCAATAGACTAAAAACTAACGATCAAAAATTGAAAAAACCATTTGGGACATCACAAAATTTTTTAGAAGAAGGCACATTAGATGCCCCAAACCCGAATGTTTGCGACTTGCAAGACATGGTTTTTGTTTCAAAAATGTCATCCAGCTCAAAAAAAAAAACTTTATATCTTTCCGGTAGTGAAGCTAAATTTTTTGCATGATGCATGTTTGTTCGAATAATTAACTATCTATAGTTTCATCTTTCATGTTTAGCGTAAAATGAAGGTAAAAAAATATTTAGCATAAAATAACATCCTCATCTTAGTATTATTATTATTTTGTTGGTAAAATCTTGCCTTACAAGGCTAACCTCAATTAATTGGTATTCTAAGCTTCAGAGGCCCAAGACGATTTCAGACCCGAAACAACCTAATTTATCCATTTTGCGGGGGGCTCTAGGATTAACCCAGAACAACTGAATCCAATAAAAGCTTCAATTTCAGAGGCTTTTAGGCTCGCTGAATGGCTTTCCGTATCCATTTCAATGGGGCACCCACATATTCAGCACCGGCATGTCTTTGGGATGATGGCGGCAGCCCTTGTCACTTCTGCGGAGGCCTAGCATATTTTTGTATTTTATTATTCATGAAAAAAAATACACATTAGATAGGTTTTTTTTCTCCATAATATAACTAGTACTTCTCTGTTGGTTAACGTAAAATTTAATTTGAGAGTTAATATTAATTTTATATGTAAAATCTATTTCATATATTTATGGATTTTTTTTCAAATTAACCTTATTGATATTCTCTCAACAATAATCAAGTAGGAGAGTGAGGGAGAGAATTGAAATGATTAATTTTTAAAAAAAAACATATTATATTAACTAATTTAACTAATATCCTCAATCTACTCAGGTTAATTAATTAGATCTTATATTAAGAACTAAAGAAGTATCTTAAAAGATGGTACTCCTCCACTATTTAATGTAATATTTATTTAACTAATTTGATTACATTAAGAAAGTTGGGTAAGTTAGTTAATTATAAGAAATATGACATTTTTTTCCAAAATATCATAATCATCTTTCTTAATATTCTCCCCATCGCCCTCATATTTAATTATAGTTGAGAGTATCAATAAAAATAATTTAAAAAATTGATAAATATGAGAAATATATTATATATTTATGATCAAAATCAACTCAGCAATTAGATATTATAGTACTCCTCCGGTCCTTATTATAAGACCCCATTTGACTTTTTATTTGGTCCTAATTATAAGACCCCAATATATTTTGTCTCTTATATTTATGCATTTTTTCCCAATATAATCCTTCTAATAATGATAGTTTTAGCCAATATACTTAATTAGCAAGGATATTTTAGGAATGACAACACTTATTTATTATAAATAACCAACTTAACTTACTTCCTTAATCTCCTCAAATAAGTCAATTGGGTCTTATAATTAGGACCGGAGGAGTATTAAGAACTGGAGAAGTATAAAGTACTCGACGATGCTTCTCAAGTATAAGCGTACGCATCATACTTTGCGAAACTAGTTATTTATAAATCATGCACCATCTGACACCACTTTTGCATATTATATCCAATTCTTAATATAAAAATTAAATTTGATTTTAAATATAAGATGTCAATTTATTTTGTCTCATGAATTTATAATTTATTTTTCAAAGTATTGCTTATTATTACATGTATTAAGGGGGTTTTTTTTATTCATTTAGTGATGACCAAAAAGTTATTTAAAAAAATTAACTCATATATATTGCAAGGAATTAATTTAGTTAATTTTTTAAAGTAATTCTTATATTAAAAAGTAAGTTTATATTAATATGTTGATACACATGATAAAATATTTGAGTAGATTTGCAATTTTTTTTAATATGAAACTGTAAAAATTAAAACAGATTAAAATAATAAAAAAAAAGAACATAAACTAGCTATCTACTTTCATTAAATCCACCTCTTGCGGGAATGGTGGTCGGCATCAAAGAAGAGATTTGCAGTTTAACCTTATAAATTATGCAGCATCTGACAGCATTTTTATATAATTTTATATTAATATAAAAATTTGTTTGATTTTTATTTTGATTCTAAATAAACAATCCAAATCTACTTTATCTCTAATATTTATTTTTTTAAAAGATATTCCTTGTAATAATGGTAGTTCTAACCAATACACTTGATTAGCAAGAATATTTTAGAAAAGACTATATTTATTACAAATAACTAACTTAACTAGTTTATTAATCTACTCAAATTAGCCAATTAATTCTTATACTACCTCTAATACTTAATATAAGTCCTCATTTGATTTTTATGTTGACTCTAAATATAAGAACCCGATACATTTTGTCTCCGATATATATCCATTTTTTCTTAATGTAATTTTTATAATAATGATAGTTCTAATAAATACTAGTACAATTGACTAACAACAATATTTTAAAAAATATAACACATACTTATTATAATTAATTAATTTAATTAATTTTTTAATCTATTTAAATTAGTAATTAATTTTTATATTAAGTATATGAGTTAGGATTAAAATCTGGAGGTTGTATTAAAATTTGCATAGATTTTTTCAAAATTAGGATGGGCCAACGTGCAAGTCAGCTTGGGAGTGAGAAACTTGCATTGGGGGGCAAGGGGGTCAAGGTCAAAATCTCGCATGGCAGAGGACGGGCACGCCACGTGATGGTCCCACACCGTCTGATTTTGTCAATCTACGTGTCCTGTCGCAGGCTCACGGCACGCCGGCACGGCGCAATGCCTCATGATCTCATGTGTTCCTTACTTCATGCTATCATTCCCCACAACCGTTCTTATCCGATTCGCGACCTCCCTCCAATCCCACTCTTACACCCGCCCACAGGACTCCCGATTATTACTCATTTCCTAATTGACATTGACGTTGCTGCCCCCTTCTTCGTTTTATATAAAATCCCAACCTGTGTCCCGCCTTGCTCGCTCAGTGCAGGTTGAAGTGGGAAACTTTCGCGAAGTCACAAAGAAGATGAAGGACTCAGGCAAGAGCCTCAAATCAAATGGGAAGCCGTCGTCGGAGGTGAGAAAAGATCGGAAATCGGCGACGGGCATGAACGGATCGCCCAAGAAGGGAGGTCATGGAGGTAAGTTCACCTGGATCGGTCGCGGCTACTCGGATGCTGAGATCGGACGCGAGCACGAGGCCTTGGATGCAAAGGATCCAAACTTTGAAGATCCAGAAGAGGTCGCCACTGCCTGATGCTGAAAATTGGTGGCGATCTGGTACCTCGCTTACTTCCAGTTATGTAAATATCTAGTTATGACTTTATGAGAGATGATGGTGCATGGTTCTGGATTAATAAACTTTGATTGAGAGTAGATGAAGCATTTGTGATACTTTTTTCGGATCCTGGATCTGCTTGTTGAGGTTGTAATCTTGTTGTTTTTGTACACACGATCAAATTCAACTGATGCAACCCGGACTACTTTTGAAAATTTCTCCGCCCAGCTTTTCAGTGAGTGTCATTGTGTTGAGGTTTGAGATAATATATTGATTTAAAAAATTGAAAACGTCCTTTCTTCGAGTCTCAGAAGCTTCAATTCTGGTTGAACGAAACAAAAGTTACAAAACATACCAGAAAGTTGAGAACATCAAAATAGCCCTCGATGGTTGATCTTAGCGTCTCGTGAGCTTCGTCTTCTTCGACGTCAGCTGCTCGTCTCGAGATCAAAGTCCGGTGGACCAAGTTCCCTGTTGTCGTTCTCCTTGCATTTGATTGTTTAATTAAGTCAGCATTGCACAAGATTAAAAATTTTATTTTAGTTTTTTATCTTTTTAATTAATTTAAAAAGATTAAAAAATTATATTAAATTAATTATTTATAATAAATATGTGTTATTTTTTAAAAATATTTTTACTAATTATATATATTAATTAGAATTATTATTTAATAAAAATTTTAACTTGTGCTATTATTATAAATTTTTTAATAAAAATAGATAAATATGATAAATAAAACTAAATTAAATGTTAAATTAGTTTTTATATAAAAATATAAGCTAATAAGATTTACAAGTAATTATTCATATTTCAAGCATTCATGATAATATTTTAAAAATAAAATATAAATGTAAAGAATATTTTTATTATCCAATATATATATATCTATACAAATATGTATATATCCATCTGCAGACATCATCGTTGACGTTGACATTGAAATCGAGTTACTGCTTACCATGCCATACTATCATCTGTTGCCTATTAATTTTGCTAGACCAAAAAGAAAAACCAAAAAACAACATTAAATTATTTATATGTATTATTTTTAAATTAATTTATCTAATTTATAAATTAATGCATGATGTAATTTTTCTAAATTAATTAATTAAGTTTCATATTAATTATGAGATAGTGTGGTGGTCCCAGTTTAGATTAGGAGAAGCAAGATTGTATGGGCTATGGAGGAAGAAGAGGAAGTGCTGGTCTCTTAAAAAAATGGAGGAAGAAGACGAAGAAGTACTCAAATATGAAAATACTAAAATATCAACGATACCTTTCGTCCTTTCCGTCAAACCGGATCATTGAAGGGCAAAGCTCGTGGGCTGGATCATTGTTTTTTCACGGCCCATTTAGTGTTAAAATTTTGTCAAAAACATTATGTCAATATTAATACTACTTCTGATTTTTAATATAAGAGTTAATTAACTAATTTTAATATATTAGAAAAATTTATTAAGTTATTTATTTGTAATAAATAGATTTTTTTCTTATAATATCCTTACTAACTATGTGTAGTAACTACAATTATTATTTGATCAAATATTTAACATGCACAACTATTATACTAATTTGAAAAAATAGATAAATATTAACGACAAAACATACTAGGCTTTTATATTAACCACGGACGTAGTATATAGAGTGGATCCATTCGTGCGGTTCAAACTTCAAATAGAAATTGGAGCAAATGTAATTTACAACTGAAACTCCTAAGGCCTCCAGGCTCTAAATAAAGAGACTTTGCAATCACATCTTTTATGTCATCGGTAAACCCCTTCAGAGGCTTCAACCATGCAATGCAACCTAAAGAACTAAAGGCTGAAACTCCTTAGTTGCCACCTGCTGATCTTCTTGGCATTTGAAATTGGGATTTTCACGGAACTTCCTTGGCCTTCGATGGCTTATCATTATATGTGTTTGCTTCAGTTTTTCCTGGTGGGGGTGGGATTTTCACTTAACTTCTTCAGGTTTTTAAATGCAAGAAATTTCCTTTTGTTTTGCAAGTTAAGATCGGTGGGTTTTTTTTCTTATAGTCATTGTCTTCATCATAATGCATTGGTTTTATATCAGAGCTGCCAGTTCTCCCGCTTCTGCCCCATGATGGAATAGTCTAAAGGGGGAGGTCGTCCAAGTGGAGGAATTATCGAGAGATTAGGAGGAAGAGAAGGATGGAAGAGAAGGCCTAAGGAATCGAGGAATATATTCTGCATTCAATACGGCCATGGTTATAACGAGATAGTTCATGACGTGTCATTTTGTAAGCGCTTGGATGAATTGGATGGGTAGGATGTGAAGATTCTAAGAAATGAAGAGAAGGGGGCCGTTGAGAGAATCTGCTCCTGTCCCTGGGGAGAAGTGATCACTGATCTTGCATTTTAAAAACAGAACATACACTGCCAAAAAACCAAATAACGTCATTGAAATTATAAACAACAGGCTACCATTACTCAGAATGATCAATTAGTCCAGTTATCACTCATTGGCTAAACATAATCTCGTTTACGCTAACAAAAAATTTCTTTAAAAAATCTGATTTAATACTCCGGAATTCCAAAACCCGACCCGACCACTGAATAATTCATAATTTTAAGTTTCAGCAAGCATAATAGAGTTACCCAAGACAAACAAGTGAGGTTTTTGGCAAGCATTTGCCCAAATTTTGAAATTTCTCTTTTAATTGCCCACTGTTTGGGACAACAACTTCAAATTCAATATTTTCACAAAATGTTACTTAGACCGACAGATGGAAGGTTGAGACTTACCTCAAAAGCAATAAATCCGCGCCTAAAACACTAGGGGAGTTGGATTTTTTACCAGCTCGAATCAAAACTCCCACCAAACCACAATTCCATTGATTATGAATGGAAAGGAATTGTAGAATATCAATACCCTTTACCCTTACTTTATATGGATGTCTTGAAGACAAACCTCAAAGCTCTTAAATCAAGCCAAAATATTGACAGCAGTAATGGTCGCAGAAAAATTGGCTGGTAATTTCATTTAATTCTAAATATAATATTTTAATTTATTTTGTTCTCTAAATTTGTAATTTATTCTCTAAAATATATTTACTGATTATGCATATCAAAAAATTTCCATTCAAAAGTAGTAGTGATTAACTCATATTTGTTATAAATAACTAATTCAACTAATTTTCTTAATCTATTCAAATTAATTAAACAGTTCTTATGTTAAGCAATAGAGGTGATAGTTTTTTTTTCCCTTTTTTTATTTACTTTTTAAATTTCTGATTGGTTTGCCACCTACATGCCATGGCACGTCATCAGCATATGTAGGTGGGCCTTGCGCCACTGAGTTAATAACGTTAGCAAAGATTTAACAGGGGGGGTTATAACATTGCACCACTCACAAAATGTCTGGGAGACGTTGCATCTCCATTAAGATACTAGGTGCTTTTTATGCAAGCAGTCGAAAGATAAGAATGACTTTTAATCCGTTTTATTTTGAGTAAATTTAGTGTTAATTATGAATTTACAATGACACGGAATGAGGGGTTTATCTTGTTCAACTCAATAATCAATTGTAATGGTTGGCGCTAATTTTATCTTATTTTGCAAAATAGAATTAAAATTAAATGATTTTTGTAGCCCGATGGATCGCATCCCATAATTTAAGGTCAATCTTAAAATGAGTGCCTTCCACTGTTACAGTAGCATCCTCCTCCACGTCAATTGGACGAACAGCTTCGTTGGGACTGCACCAAAGATCGCCTCTCTTCCAGTAAGCGAAGGGAAGACCCCTCCCCCTTCTCTTCTTTTTCTTTTGGACTGGAAGGGAAGATTTCAATTCCCCAAATCACCTGAACGTATTTTAATTTAAATTACGCTACCCGCTGGGCAATCCCGCGAAGCCGATGAGTACTGGGCATCGATGCAAGCTTGGAGCGATGGGGAATGTAAAATTCTGAGAATGTGATGAAATATTGCATCCGATGGGGAACAAAATTGCGCGTACAACGCAAGTTTCGGCTTCGGAGTACTATCTTCATGACCTGCCCTCCACCTACAATCTCGTCTTGAAGGAGGTTTTAGGTCGAGGCCGTTTCTTCAAGTCTATTCAGTGCAAGCATGATGAGGGTTTGGTTCTGGTCAAGGTCTATTTCAAGCGTGGCGACTTCATCGATCTCAGAGAGTACGAACGGCGTCTGAGTCAGATTAGGGACATTTTCCGTGGCATTGAGCACCCTCACGTTTGGCCCTTTCAGGTCCTGTTCTAATAACTCTGCATTATTTTCTTTTGTGATGCACAAAAAGCTAACGCCACATTGTTAGCTGAACAAATTTAATCAAACAAGAAAAAATGAAGTTCTGAAATTTGCTGATTTCTCAAAGCAGAAAGCTTTACTTAGCGTGTTTCAACTCGATCTTTCAACTGAGATTAAAACCAGCAGGGATGAATGTGATGCCAGTCAATTACACTCAACATACCTATTGTTTTAACTTTGACTATCATTTTGGGCTTAAGCATACTGTCGTTTGAGGAGACCATTACAATATATTTTGGTCCTATTAAAGAGAGTGGTCTTATTTAAGCCCAAAAAATGCGCAAGCCATTTGTGGAGAAGTAAGACATGCTTTAATGGGAGGAAATTCTGCGTTTCCCAGATTCATGTAGGGACATCGTAGAAGAATTTGGTGTTCTTTTCCTGTCATTTTTTTGGCACTTGAGTAGAGCAAGGCAGTTTTAAATTTCTCACGCGGTAGTGTCACCTTGCAGTTTTGGCAAGAAACAGACAAAGCAGCATATCTCTTGAGGCAATATTTCTTCCATAATCTGCATGATCGCCTTAGTACTCGACCTTTTCTCAGTCTTATTGAGAAGAAATGGTTGTCTTTTCAGGTCTTCGCTCATCCTGATCACTAAAATTTCAAGTTCCTGATAACATTGTAGTTTGTTTGACGATGTTTTTTTTCCTTCTTTTGGGTCAATTACAGTTGCTCCTAGCCGTGAAACAGAGCCATGAGAAGGGAGTATGTCATGGTGAGTCTTGGTTTAATTGCAGACTGGCCTCCAATGATATAGAAAGATAATAATTGATGGTCACTTAGATAATGGTTTTTTTGTGCCACAAAGTATTTTATTTTGTTCATGTGCTTGTTTGGGATCACAATTAGGCACCTCAAAAGCATTTATTCACATAATTCATAAACAAAACTCCTCTCATATACTTACTTTGTATTTTGTAAATCACGATTAAAAAGCCGATTTTGAAGAATCTTACTGCTATTCCAAACAAGTGCCAAGTCTGTAGCTGCTGCCATTATTGTTCTGAATGTTTAATTTGTTGTTTTTGCCATATGTCTTAGCTAAAACTCTTTGCTTTTGTTTGACGATATGTTGATTTACCTTTTGGTTTTCTTTTGGGAAAATTTTCATTCTATAAGGTGATATTAAGTGTGAGAATGTGCTGATTACATCCTGGAGTTGGCTTTACCTTGCGGACTTTGCATCCTTCAAGCCCACTTACATCCCATATGATGACCCCTCAGATTTTTCTTTTTTCTTTGACACTGGTGGAAGAAGGCTCTGTTATCTAGCACCCGAGGTCAGTCCTTTGTCTGTGAACCCCCCTTCTCTCTTTATTTTTATTATTTTTCTGGTCTATCATATGCCTAGAAACGGTTTCTATCCTTTTGTGAGAACTTAAAGGCAGGTGAATATATAAAGCACTAATTTTGGATTTTTTTTTCCGGGTACATCAACTATTTTATTTGTTGCAAAATTCATGCAATGTGATAATGATTTTTTTATATTATTTGAAATAAAAACTTCCATTATCAAGGCAAAATGTTAGGTATTGTTTTTAGTATGCCATTATGTCTCTGTCTGTGTTTCGGCTTTGTTTTCATTATTGCTTTTCCTTCCCTAACATGATTATCTTATTACTATTCTTATTTCTTAATGTTTGTTTGACTGTCAGAGATTTTATGAACATGGAGGGGAGATGCAGGTAGTACAGGATGCTTCATTAAAGCCATCTATGGACATATTTGCAGTTGGGTGGGTATTCTTTGATGCAATAATTTTACTGTTAATATTGAAGAACATCTTTTGCTTTTCAGTTACCCATATAATGTTTTCCATGTAGTAATGTGCATGAAGTAACTGACACATTGAACGAAAAAAGAAAAATGCAAGGGAAAATTAATCTTTTGATCCCTACAGTTTTGATTCAGTTGTAATTCAGTCCCTAAATTTTAATATTGTGGAACTCAATTGCTATAGTTTTGATTCAGTTCCAACTCAATCCCTGAACTTTAACTTAGTGCAACTCAGTCCCTATAATTCTAACTATTTAAAACTTTAGCCCCTGTATTTTAAAAAATAAAATTATATATCTCAGCAAATTTAGGGACTCAAGTTTTAAATGGTTAGAACTATAGGGACTGTGTTGCAATAAGTCATAGCTCAGGTAATAAGTTAGAACAAGTCAAAACCATAAAGACCGAGTTGTACTGAGTTAAAGTTTAGAGACTAGGTTATGACTAAGTCTAAACTATAGGGACAAAGGATTAATTTTTCCCAAAATGTAGTATTTGCCCGTTGCCTGTATATCAATAAGGCATTGCAGTGCTACCACTATGGTGTGCTAGTGGCAAAAATGCGTATCATCATTGTCATTTGAGTTATCAACTGTGGGACATGAATTTGCATTATTTGTCATTTGCATGTATAGCAGTAAGACTGCTGTGCTGTTATCTTGTTGAGGTAGTGTTGGGAATGTGTATTAGCCTGATCTTGGCGCCCCCCCCCCCCCAAAAAAAAAAAAGGTTCAGCACTTATGGTGTAAGAACTTGCTCTATTGAATAAAATATTGTGTTATAACAAGTTTTGAAGATCTCTGCTATTTTAGCATGTCAATCGATCTTCTATGTTGAATAATAATTATAACTCAGGATTTTAATGCAGCATGGACAGAAGGCCTGACTTCTTCCCCTTGAAGATATTAGGAGGTCTAGGTTAGAAATCTGATGCTTTTCAATGAAGGAGATTGTATGTGATATTGTCCCCCCCCCCCTCAACGACAAATCTTATATTATTTTCTTTGTCCGGTTGCTATTTGTCTCAAGGGTTATATCTCCTTTTAACTCTAAGTCCCACTCTCCTCCTTTATATTCAATTACTTTATTTAATGTGATGTACAAGCCACTGTTGGAGCTTTGCTTAACAACCTAACCTATTAAGCCAAGCCATTGTTCACATATCGGTGCCTTTAGACTATGTGGACTGGTATTTAGTTTTGCTGTTCTTATTTTTGTCATTTGAATTGTGTAGGTGTGTTGTGGCACAAGGGTGTGCCATTGTGGTGAATTTATAAGATCTTCAAATTTCAATCGTCCAAGGTCTTTGATTGAGGATTAGATATCAAAAGCGTCATTCCAAGTGGGAGGGCTTACTTTGTTATTTAGGCCTATGATTCACAAAAAAAAATTTCATTGCAGTTTTGCTAGAATGATCATCACGATCATCATCTATAATGAAATCGATACCACCTGCTGTAAGAACAACAAATATCCAGGAAGCCCTGCTTAGACTTCTTTTTTTTTTTTGGGGGGGGGGGGGGGTTGAAAGCACGCTTGTTGCTTTGGAAAGTTAAATCTGCCATATAAGTCGGCACCACTTGCAAATTTCACAAGATGCTATATGGGATAGGATAATTTCTAAAACCTTAGGATATGAGCATAGGTGGGGTGTGCGTGTGTGTGAGTGAGAGTGGATGAGGGGGGGGGGGGGAACAAATTAAAAAGTAAATAATATGAAAGAAAATTGAGTCTTCAACAAATATCTCAAGTGTAAAATAAGATTTTCATAGCAAGCTACAAATAAAAAGTGTAAGACAAATTAGAGTTTCTTGTTCAAAATAATTGCAAATATATCATTGAGATCCCTGATAAGTCTTAGGCCGTTTCAGTGTAAATTGAAATATTTCAAAATGTAAAAATAAAACATTGTATACACTTGCCAAAGTATATTATGCATGTTGGTACTGGATGCATATTCAATATGGTTCTGCCTCTTTTTCTGGTATAATGGTTTGTTGACTTGTTCTTGGAAACCTTGACTTGAACTTCTTTTACATTTACCTTTGAGAGAGGGGAGAGAGAGAAAAAGGGGAGAAAAATTATCCGGGTCAAGGAGTTGTAATGACAGATTATCACCTGCGAATAAGATTTTTAGCAGTTATAACTAACAGGTATCGATATAAGATGTGAAATATATAGCAAGTCACTCTCTACACAAGTCATCAACAACGTGACTTAACTCAACCTTTGTGCAATGCACAGAAACTTGTCCAGCAGGCTCTACATAATATCTTAATCACTCTTTTCATTTGGTTATGTTCTCATTCTTTTCTGACGTTCACGTCATTTTCCTGCTTTAGGTGTGTAATTGCAGAACTTTTCCTTGAGGGACAGCCACTGTTTGAACTGTCTCAACTTCTTGCGTATCGCAGAGGACAATATGATCCTAGCCAACATCTTGAGAAGGTACACTCTACATCTGAGTTTTTGGGCCGGGGGGGGTGTGTGTGTGTGTGTGTTCTCCCTCTACAACCACACTCACAGAGGGGGAAAACCCACTGTACTGATTATGTGTACAATCTTGCATGTCCTGTGATTTCAGATACCGGATCCTGGAGTCCGGAAAATGATTTTGCACATGATTCAACTAGAACCAGAGTCACGGTTTTCTGCTGAAAGCTACCTGAAGGAATATGCAGCAGTTGTGTTCCCAACCTACTTCTCACCATTTTTGCATGATTTTTACCGCTGCTGGAGTCCTCTTCATTCAGATATGAAGGTACATGGCTGTGCTGAAATATTTCAGTGCCTTATGTTTTGATGCTTCTTGTCACTCACGTGTGATTTATACGTAGGTTTTGTTATGTCAAAGTGCTTTCCAGGAGATACTAAAACAAATGATGAACAGTAAATCATCTGATGAGGTGGCTGTTACTTCTGGTGAGCTTTTGGGAGAGGTTGTTGGCAAAGAAAATGTCAATTTTATGAAGGACTCCCTGATGAAGAGAGATGAGATGGGAAATGGGTTAATTCCTGATCACTATGAGCTTCTTGGTGATATCAGTAGCCTGCTGAGGGGTGCTAAGAATCACAACCATTTATCTGGTCCCCGGCATGTGATAGGAAATGCACCCAATTCTATCCTTTGTGAGAATTTAAAAAATTTGCAGTCTCCTGGTGAGCTCCTTCAAATTATCTCCAATGCATTCCGAGGAAATGACCATCCCTTTCTGAAGAACGTTACAATGAATGATTTGAATTCGTTGATGTCTGATTATGATAGTCAATCGGATACTTTTGGGATGCCTTTCTTACCACTACCCAAGGATAGTATGAGATGCGAAGGCATGGTTTTGATTACTTCTTTGCTCTGCTCCTGCGTTCGCAATATCAAATTGCCTCACTTGAGGAGGGCAGCTGTGCTCTTGTTGAAGGCCTCTGCATTATATACTGATGATGAAGATCGTTTGCAGCGAGTTATCCCATATGTTATTGGAATGCTCTCTGACCCATCAGCAATTGTGCGTTGTGCTGCTTTAGAGACTTTGTGTGATATTCTGCCCCTTGTCCGAGATTTTCCACCCAGTGATGCAAAGATATTTCCTGAATACATATTTCCAATGCTTTCTATGCTTCCTGATGATCCAGAGGAAAGTGTGAGGATATGTTATGCCAGTAATATAGCTAAGCTGGCACTTACTGCTTATGGATTCTTGATACACTCAATAAGTTTGAGTGAGGCAGGCGTACTTGATGAATTGAGTTCACCGCAGAAGTCATTGGTATCATCTAGTCAGACTAGTGGAAGGTTGTGCAGGATAAACGGTGATGTGCAACTTTTGCAGCTGAGGAAGTCAGTTGCAGATGTTGTCCAAGAACTTGTTATGGGTCCGAAGCAAACGCCAAATATTAGAAGAGCACTCCTTCAGGACATTGGGAAGTTGTGTTATTTCTTTGGTCAGAGGCATAGTAATGACTTTCTCTTACCCATCCTCCCTGCTTTCCTTAATGATCGGGATGAACAATTACGGTCTGTGTTCTATGAGAAGATCGTATACGTCTGCTTTTTTGTCGGCCAAAGAAGTGTAGAAGAATATCTTTTACCTTACATTGAGCAGGCTTTAAGTGACACAACAGAGGCTGTCATGGTCAGAGCCTTAGATTGTTTGACCAGTCTTTGCAAAAGTGTTTTCTTCAGGAAGAGGATACTGCTTGAAATGATAGAGCGTGCATTTCCTTTGCTATGTTATCCTAGCAAATGGGTGCGTAGATCAGTGGTCTCATTCATTGCTGCTAGCAGTGAGAGCTTGGGTGCAGTAGATTCTTATGTTTATCTTGCTCCTGTTATACGACCCTTCCTTCGCAGACAGCCTGTATCTCTAGCTTCTGTGAAAGCCCTTTTTTCGTGTTTAAAGCCTCCTGTCTCGAGACAGGTTTTCCATGAAGTATTGGAGAATTCCAGGAGTTCAGACATGTTAGAAAGACAAAGAAAGATATGGTATAGTTCATCATCACAATCTAGACTATGGGAAATGGATTTACTGAGAAAAGGAATAGATGAGTTGGACTCATTGAATAGCTGGCCTGACAAGCAACAAGGTCCTGGGGGTCAACAATCTGTTGGCACTGGCTTCCCACAGCCAGGGCTAACTGATTGTGATCAGGCTGACACAAAGTTGAGAAATATGGTGACCTTTATGCATAATGATTGTATCGTATCCCCAAGGACAGAAGTCAGTGATTGATGTCCCAGTGCTTGGAGAAGTTACAGTTTCTTTCAGTGTGGATAGGCGTGCAATGGAATTCCTCCTGCGGCATCTGATTCTCCGCTACAAATGAATTCTCTAGGCATCAGTTCATGTGAAAGCCCTTTTTTCGTGTGTTAAAGCCTCCTGTCTCGAGACAGGTTTTCCATGAAGTATTGGAGAATTCCAGGAGTTCAGACATGTTAGAAAGACAAAGAAAGATATGGTATAGTTCATCATCACAATCTAGACTATGGGAAATGGATTTACTGAGAAAAGGAATAGATGAGTTGGACTCATTGAATAGCTGGCCTGACAAGCAACAAGGTCCTGGGGGTCAACAATCTGTTGGCACTGGCTTCCCACAGCCAGGGCTAACTGATTGTGATCAGGCTGACACAAAGTTGAGAAATATGGTGACCTTTATGCATAATGATTGTAGTATGATAGGACATCGTGATCCCCAATGCTTGGAGAAGTTACAGTTCTCTGGATTGATGTCACCTCAGGTTAGTTGTAGCAGTTTGCCATATGAGAAGTCATCAAATGGCATACCTTTGTATTCTTTCAGTGTGGATAGGCGTGCAATGGGAATTCCTCCTGCGGCATCTGATTCTCCGCTACAAATGAATTCTCTAGGCATCAGTTCATCCACCATGCCTTGGGTTAGTCCAGCTAGCAAGTCCTTTAATTTGGCTAGTTCAGTTCCAGCTCCAAAGTTTGTTTCAGTTTTCTATTGATCATATCTCTAGGGGTCTAGGAAATGTTGTTGAGAAGTATTCTGGCGTTGCTGACATCACAAAGAAGGATATAAAGGAAGGTGCCATCCTCAACCTATTGAACTACCCTGTGGATGCTTATACCATCATGTTTAGCACTCAGAACTGTGGTATTCATCTATGGGATACTAGGTCAAGTTCCAGTTCATGGACTCAAAAAGTTACTCCTGAGGAGGGATATATTCCTTCTTTGGTAGTAGGGCCTTGTGGTAATTGGTTTGTATCAGGGTCATCCAGGGGCGTGCTTACTCTTTGGGATCTGAGATTTCTGATACCCGTGAACTCTTGGCAGTATTCCCTTGCTTGCCCTATAGAAAAGATGTGCCTCTTCCTTCCACCTCCTAATGCCTCTTTATCTTCAACCGTGAGGCCCCTTGTTTATGTGGCTGCAGGTAGCAATGAAATTTCTCTTTGGAATGCAGAGAATGGTAGCTGCCACCAGGTACATGGCTGCTGTTTTGTGGTTGCTTGTAGATTGTAAGAGCAATGTGCTGTAGAACTAATTCAGCTGCAACGGAACGGATATATACCTCCAATGTTCAAATATCTTTTTGTTGAGAAAATAGATAATTCTCTATTGAAATCTACCTCTCTTTTTTTTTTATTGCATGAGCACTCCAGAGCATTGTATAGTAATTTATGATGATTCAATTAATTCTGGGAAGATGCACCAATATTCTGATTGCTTTTTGCTGTAGCGAATCATCTTAGATTTGCCTTATCATTTATAATAATATTCTGATAATTGACTTACAAAAATTATAATTTCTTCCTCCAGGTATTGAAAGTGACCAATTATGACAGTGATGCAGAAAAGTCTGAACTGCCTTGGGCCTTGGCTAGACCTTCTAACAAGGGAACTTCTAGACCAGATTTGAGGCGAAATGTCAATCCCAAGTATAGAGTTGATGAACTAAATGAACCTCCTCCCCGTCTTCCTGGTATTCGTACATTGCTTCCCTTGCCCGGGGGTGATTTACTGACGGGGGGTACTGACTTGAGGATACGTCGATGGGATCACTACAGGTTGCGTTGAACTTCATTTTTGTCCACTTTTCTTACTTATGTTGTGATAGTGACCTGACTACATATATCTATGTATCCTGTTGCAGTCCTGACAAAAGTTACTGTATATGTGGACCTGACTTGAAAGGAGTGGGGAATGATGATCTGTATGAAACAAAATCTAGCTTTGGCGTGCAAATTGTACAGGTAATTCACGCCTTCACATAATGGTGCATTCCAACAATTTGTTGTGCGGGTTGTTTTTACTTGTCTAAGGGGGTGATATTCTCATTCAGCAAAGGTACGGGTACCACGGATGCCTCTATGGTTCCGACAGGTTGAATCAAAATATAATTTTGGTTTAGTTGCACTGTAGTCAACATGAGACCTTATTAGCATGCTTCAGGTTGCTTAAGGCCCACCATTCTTATCTTTATGGGTCCTGAAACGCAAGGTGACTCTTGTTCCAAATAACGAATCAACATGATTTCTTTCAGACAATCCTTGAAATTTGACAGACCAAACTATGCTTTTATGAACATATGCTGAAGAATTAGTCTGCATTAATGCTTTTCTTGACATCGGCATATTTATGCGCCCTCCTATCCTTCCCTCACATAGCCTCTTGAAAGCCACAAAAATGCGAGGAAACAGTGATGCTTGGAAACCATTCTTTATTATGGAGTGGCCATCATTTCATCATATTCGTTTTATGTTTTTTGTATTTCCATGAATCTGAAATTGATTTTAAGACACTGCAAAACTTCTGTGTGACGGGTTCGCAGGAATCTCAAATAATCTCCACACATACTCACCACATTCCCCGACTTGTAATGGCCAAATCGCTCACTATCATTGCGTTTTTTTGTTTTGCATTTAACTGTTGATCAAGACTACTTTTCCTCAGATTGCTCATTTGTCGATTGAGGATGTTCATATCTCCTACTAATTTAGAATATAAGCATCTGAGATTTTTCTTGCTGCACATATGCTGCTGCAATTGAACTTTCTACTCTTTTAAACAGGAGACAAAGAGGCGTCCTCTTTCAACTAAGTTGACTGCAAAGGCAGTTGTCACGGCTGCTGCCACTGATCCTGCAGGTTGCCACCGTGATTCTATCCTTTCTTTGGCTTCTGTTAAGTTAAACCAGAGACTCTTGTTATCAAGTAGTAGAGACGGGGCTATCAAGGTTTGGAAGTAGCTAGACTCAATTTGGGATGGTTGTACATAGGCATTGTCAATTCTAGTGGTTAAAATTGTACATAAGTTACAGGAGCTAACCCACTTGGTGGATGTTCAAGCTTCTCTTAATGCTATCTGGGATATCAAAGTCCCTTGATCTGTACAGAAGGTATTAGACAGAGGAGTTAAATTAAGTCTAGTTTCTCGGGGCTTTGGAATATTATGCTTCAGGATATGTATTTGTGGGCATGTTGCCTCCGGACTGTGAGCTTTGTATCACAAATAATAATGATGGTTAAGCCTAATTTCATTCACTATACACGCAGACCTCTGCGTTTTTAGAAGCTTATTGAATGTTTGAATTGAGTCCAAAAAGTGTCGAGGTTCTTTTTTTTTTTTTGGGGGGGGGGGGGGGAGAATGAGTCCCGTGAAGGGACCAATCATTCGATTTCTCTTCATGCTAAATATTGTGGCAATGGGCATGCGCCTGATTGATTGGCTTCTCCATGAAGGCTTCCCCTAACTTGTTTAGGCGCGTGACTGGCAGAGGAAGCGACAGCTGGGAGGTTGATACAGATTGAGTAATCCAATTTGATGTTGAAGTTTCCGGCCAAGAAATTAAAAAAAAGAAAGAAAGAATTCGACCTTGAAGTTGCAACTTTTTGGATATATGCGGTCACGGATCCCTTACATTAGTTGTCTCTTTGTTAGGCCTTCCAACAAAAAGGCTTAATTGCTTTTTGCTTCCTAGAATTTGGAATAAAATTTATGGATCTTATCTATAACTTTCGCACGTGTTATATCTTAAGATGATTAAAATAGTTTGTTAGTTTCTTGTAATCATGTAAACACTGAAAGTATTGCCAGTAATTTTGAAACAAGAAATAGCATTTTTTTCAATCCAGGAGCCCTTAAATCAGTTTTTCCATCTTCTAGAAAAGAATTTTGAAATGCAAGAGACACACATGTTAACATAAAGAGGACATAATTTGGTTGTGTTGTTCAGCTCAGTATCTCACTGAGACCAGATTCTATTTTACATGAGAAATACTGTTCTTCCTTCACTTGAATTCTAGTTAACTAAGTAACTAATTCAAATGACTGACTCGACTCGTTGGGTGGAGCGGTATATGTAGACTAAACCAGAACTTTAACAGATTTTCTCATCTTTTGGTTGCAAAAAGATTTTTATTACTATGCATACATTTTGAATTGTAATTATTAAATGGTTATACTACAAATTTTCGAAGAAAGCTATCCAAACAGTATAAGATAGGTGGGATCCAATGATACATCAGCTGTCTACCAAAAGAACAAAAATCGGATCCTCCATGAGACGAGTGGAAAAATAGTAGTGTAGGTTGATCACCCAAAATCAAAACACAAGATCATTCATTACGGATTCTCCTGCGCTCTTCTATGTCCCGTGTAGAACTTGGAGTTTATGACGCAAAAAATAGAAGTTAATGACATAAAATGCAAGGTTTCCTGGCAAAACAAATTCAAAAATATCAGTACACTATCTGTTATGTACCTTCATTGACCTCACCGTCTTTACTTGCCTACATACAATTTTTCAGCATAGTACTTTTTTTGACTATTTGTCCCAATACAAGTTTATTGTATTGCTCAAGTTATGACCCTGCAAAGTCCTCCTTAAGACCCCACATGGCTTCTCAGGCTCACAATTTAGGTTAAATATACAGCTGAGAATTCATCTGGACCATTAAAGGTGCTCATATAACACCAATCAACTCATCACAAGAAGGAATCTCATCACATTCTCAAGACGGTCCAATGGTTGAACGCTTATGATTGAAGAAAGCTGGTCGTTAATATATTTTATAGAAAGCAGAGTAGCGTAGCCCCAACCCAAGTTAGTAAGAGTATCCCCACCAGAATATTTTCACGATCACACACAAACAGAAAGAGGGGTACTCACGGGCTGCAAACCAAACAATAACAACAAAATAAAAGTTGCCAAGGGTTTTTAAAGAGACAAGCTTTTTTATTATGTGAAAAGTGCAACCTGTCTTTGCGGTTTAGATTCTTCATCTCTATCTCTCTCTCTCTCTCTCTCTCTCTCTAATGCACCCGTGAAGAGTACTGAGTCTGTCATTGATTCTATTGTTCACCCCTCAAGTACCAACCAACCTGTGTATATAAAACCCTGGCGCAGGCCTAACACTGTTATCAGTTTATTATCACCCAGCTTCCAAGCAACATCATTTTCTTTCTCACATGCTCGTGAGAATGTCAAATCTGCATTATGGTTTCAATTTTTTGCTACTTCTTGTTCTTCTTCTGATGCAAAATCCGACTACGACTCTATGCCATACAAAGGGATTGCGGCCAAAGCGTTCTACTGTGACATCATCGACGACCAACATGACCCGAATCCAATTCTCAGAACAGCAATTCATGAAGTGGATAAAGTTTGTTGGTGGCCTCAGACACTCTGTTTTCGGGATAGCCAAAAACAAGCTTTTTCCCTCTCACACCCTGCATGTCTCCAAAAAGCCTTCTTCGGGACAATTTTCGACAATTCAACGCGCAATCGATTCTCTTCCATTCCTCAACCTTGTGAGAGTCGTGATAAAGGTCCACGCAGGGGTTTACACGTCAGTATCAATCCTGCATTCTTTGTTTTCCTTTCGTTTCCCATTTTACGATAGAAAGTTCATTCCTTTTTTCCCATTTCTTTTTCAGGGAGAAAGTGAACATTCCTCCTATGAAATCCTTCATAACCATACAAGGTGCTGGAGCTGACAAAACCATAGTTCAATGGGGAGACACAGCACAAACAAAAGGATCAGACGGGAAGCCAATGGGAACCTATGGATCAGCAACATTTGCTGTGAATGCACCTTATTTCATCGCCAAGAACATCACATTCAAAGTATTAAATCAATACCCTGTTTTCCTCATCTCAAATATCATCCTATAATCTTCCTCTGTTTCTAGTAATTGTAACCTTGTGAATGCAGAATTCTGCCCCAATTCCAGCACCAGGAGCAGTAGGAAAGCAAGCAGTGGCATTAAGAATATCAGCAGACACAGCGACATTCCTGGGGTGTAAATTCTTAGGAGCACAAGACACATTGTATGATCATGTGGGAAGACATTACTATAAAGACTGCTACATCGAAGGCTCAGTAGATTTCATATTCGGGGACGCCCTGTCTCTGTTCGAGGTCAGTAAGAATAAGATCATCGTTGGTTTTGCATTGACAATGTTGTAGTAAAAATGATTCAAGGATGTTGTGTTGTTTTACAGAGGTGTCACGTGCATGCAATAGCGCAGAACATAGGGGCGTTAACAGCACAGGGAAGGAACAGTATTTTGGAGGACACAGGGTTTTCGTTTGTGCACTGTAAGGTCACGGGTTCTGGGGCACTGTACCTAGGTAGGGCATGGGGTCCCTTCTCTCGCGTGGTCTTTGCTTACACCAATATGGACAATATCATCATTCCCAAAGGCTGGTACAACTGGGGTGACCCTAACCGGGAAATGTAAGTTCCTTTCCTTCCCCTCTCTCTTTCCCCACTTTGTTCTGATTTTAGAGAGAAAACCAGGGAGGAAGAAGGGGATTGTGTCTGAGTTTGGTTATTTTAAAGTTTGAAAATTCGTAAGAAGATGAAAAGAAATAGGTTTAGAGTCCAATGTATCCTCTCTTTTAATACTTCTATTATCGAGCTTTAGTTTTGTTTCTATCTCCCCAGTTGGATACCAAACATTGAGTCCGTGGATGTCTCTCAATTTATAAATAATGCAAACTAATATAAATTTTATATTGACGGGTAAAATTCTCCCATATACAGTCTTTAAGTGAGCTAAATCTCGTTACAAACTGACGTGCATTTAAACCTACATTGGTAATCTAAAAAGGGAAAGAATATCATGTAATTGACACACAGATAAGGGCATGAGCAAGATGGGTTTGAGAAGAGACTTAGCCACCTAATCCCATTGATTAGATTTGTTAATTGCTATAATTAGATGTTAGGTAATGCAAGTGGATGAGTTTTGTTTGATTGCGATGTTTGTGTTATGAGTGCACAGGACTGTGTTTTATGGACAATACAAATGCACGGGACCAGGAGCCAGATTTGCAGGCAGAGTATCTTGGTCAAGAGAGCTCACGGATGAGGAAGCTAAGCCTTTTATTTCACTTAGCTTCATTGACGGCTCTGAATGGATCAAATTGTAGAACTTCATCACATACTGACTCTTTTTTTTTTAATTATTAATATTTTATTGCTTTTCTCTGCAGAGTTTGATTTCTTCTTGTGTGACCATTTTTTCCTTCTATGTATAAATAAATATAAATGTATCACAATTTCATTTTGGCTTTCTCAGTTCCCAATCTCTGTCTCATTACCATACTGAAAATACTGCCCCTTGAACTTCTTTAATCTCAGAAGCCAAGAAACTGTATTTGGTGTGATTCATAATCGTTTCAAGGATTCTTTTTTTCACATTTAATCAGATAATTCTAAAAAAAAGGGAGTCTATGTGAAGTATGAAATATTCAAACGAATGAGAACTATCCAACCCTTCTTTAATTCAATATGTCTTTCTTTATATATTATTATGAAATTCAGAACATAAAGTTACGGAGAGAAATGAATAAACAAGGTATTCCTCCGGTCCTAAATATAAGACTATTTTTGTTATGTAAATTATACTACAAAAGGGATCTTATATTTAGGACCGGAAGAATAATTTTTTTGGTAACTATGTCAGCACATGAATGTGGGATTCAAATGATATAAGAATAGAGCATATTTTAGTCACTTCACAGGCTTATTTATTACAAATATAAACAATTTGTGAACAGTACCAACAAACACCTTAATCAAAAAAAGCATGCTAAAATAAGAACATGGACTCGTGAGCCTGGTTTAGATACAAAAGCGGATCAATCTTTTGCAATATGGACTTAAAAGTGGCGGACGTTGGGCCCATATTCTCTCGCAGGATCCTATAGACCAACCGAGGGAGCTTTTGTTCCTATATGACGAAACATGCATTATCCTATACGTCACTCTCAAGTTGTCTTCCTCATCTTTGTTCAGTACTTCCCCTTCCACTACACATTACACTATTATTGAATGCATACAACTTGTCATCTGTTAGTCTAATAATAATATTATGTGCTTAGACTGAAATCTTGTCTTTATCAGTGAAAAACAGTTCATATACACCAGAACCTTTGTTGGTTTCCTGAATTGAAACTTATTATACAAACCTGTTCCTTTGCTGATGCTGATGGTGACAGTACAGCCTACTACTTATAAATGCTGCTCCCCCTAGATTTCCAAATGCTGCTATGAGCTATCCTTTTGTTTTATATATTTAACTAGTTCACAACCGAATTGTTGTTTATGGCGATGCCATAATAGACCTCATCCTTGTACTTACTCTTCATGCTTATTCAAAGTTGATGGGTCTGTTTGGCTGCCCAAGATGCTCTGTTCTTAGATTCAAGCCATGCGACAAACCTGATGGCACTTTGTGATGGATGATGACTCGCAGCCTTCAGAGACTAAGGTGGCGAAGAAGAATATGGGTATCAAGAAGCTTTCTGAGGGGCTAGTATTCTTATTAAGCTAGACATCTCTGGTAATACACAAGAAATTAAACGCTATATGGTTTTAAATGGTATCTTTTTTATGAAAATATATTTTAAATAATAGTTATTATATTTTTCTCAATAATTGAAGTTATTTATTTTTGAAAGTATCATCACCATCGTCATTTAACTTTGTAACCTGGATCTTTAAAAATAAACTTCAATATATAACTTTGTCTTCACATGGCTCACAACACAAAATACTGAAGTCTTAGTTTTCCCCCTAGCCTTTAAAGCTTCCCGAAATTCATGAAACTCAAGCCTGGAGCAAACTCAGGACACAACTCATGTTCTCAATGATTGGGCTCCGAATTGACACCGCAGCCCACGAACTCTAAGCCATAATGATAACAGCATGACTTTCCGGGGTTACATAATAAGCTTTTTTGTTGTCACTTTATACAACACAAGTAGTGTATCACTGAGTTCTGAACCATTATTTTTGTGTCTTGATTCTCGTCCTCTTTTTTCTTTTCCTTCTCTCAGCCAAAGTAATTCTTCAGAAATTCTTGATCTGTATCAAATTAGTACATAATAATGATGATATCAGCTTCTGTTCTGTTTTGGGAAACGCACAAAACGCCTTTTGTTTACGCCCCATACAACAAAATGGATTCTTTCAAGCGTTTGAGTCATTTATCTGTAACATTCAGACCCTTCTTCCCATAGTATTTTCACTTAGCAAATATCTTCTTCCAATAAATTTTTCCATAAGCTACAAATAATTGAGGGTTTGATTGAAACTAAGGAAAGAAGCATTCACGACACCAGACACTCCATTTCACTTTATCCCATTCACAACACAAGAAAATTCGTCAAATTTTACACTTTGATGCTATATCTTTCTCCCGTTTTGTCTTCATCCTCCAATGCTCTGTTCCCTGTCTGCAAATTGCCTTCAATGTGAAAACAAAGATAGGGCCACCATCATCACCTCCTCTGCCAGTAATTGCTATCCCTTTCCCTCCCAAATTCTGCAGACTTTTCGAGCTTACCCATCACTGCATTCTTGAAGCTAATGGCTTCCTGAACCTGCGAGCAAGATCTCTGCATTCGAACCCCGCTCAAACTACTCCTACACTCCATCAATTCGTTCAACGATACCCTCCTCTTCGGCTCTGGCCTCTGCTTTGGAGCACTGTGGGACCTCAATTTCGCCCTGAATGACTGAGTATTCGCCATGTAATTCGGGCAATTCCCGTATTGTCGGTAAAAGCCATCGCCGGCACAAACGCTCCCGCACGCCGCCGCATTGCAACTAAACGACCCACAAGAATTGGTGAACCGAGGTGTGCTCTGTGCCGTAGACGACCTGCATTCTTCCGCCGTCAACCCCCAATCGGTGTCCTGCAGATTCCGGCGACAGTTCGGTATCGATAGGCGTACTGGGGTACGACAACAAGGGGCTGGAAGAGGAGAGGAAAGTGCCTGGAATTGTTGGTCATCGCCAAAATCTGAAATTGAAGTGTTGGTCCTCCGAGACTTCGATCTTGGCCTACCAGTGTCCACTTCCAATATTTTTGGGCTTCCGTCGAAGCTGTTAGAGTTATTTATTGTTGCATCAAAAGAAGAAGACATCCTTCTGCTGTGAATGGGTGCTGTGTACTCACTCCTAGTGTCGTCAAATCTCTCCTGCATAAGATTTCACGCCACCATTTCATACCAAATTTTACAGACTAGTACTACAAATAATAATCATAGGTTTACAGAATCTAGACGCAGTTACCATGGATCTTCGGGCTCGAGCTTCATATCTGTAGGCTTCATTGTCTCTGTTCATGAGCCTGCGAGCTTTCTGAGACCTCACAGTGGCTTGAGCTCTTATAAGAGCTTGCATACTATGCAAGGTTGCCGTGGCCTGCTTCCTCACTAAATAGCCTTTCACGAGTGCTTGTAATTTCACCAATCCTTTCAAAGCTCTCAGTGCTTTTCTTGCCTGTTTAGAAGTGAAAATGCGTTTTTAAGTTTCTGATCTGAAGAACTGGTTCCATTTGAGAAGAGATAAACAATTAAACGAACATACTTACCAAGTAACCCCTAAATACTGTTTGAATCTTAACGGCAGCCCATATCTCGTGTCCACCACTGCCGAACATGGTGCCTCTGCCATGGCTGGTAAGCCTAACGACGGCCACTGCAGCCTGAGCGGCTGCTACGGCGGCATCAGCGGCGGCTGCGGTGGCCGCGGCCACCGCAATGGCGTGCTTGTTCTGCTGTTTATCTGTTTCTGTGTAGAACGACTGAAGCCAAGCAGCTTCTGCAGGCGAGATGTTTGGTGGTATGGTGGTTGGATTGTGACATAAGTCTCTAAGTTCTCCCTCTGAAACATGGTTTCTGTCTTTCTTTATCCCAAACAAGCTCTTCAACCACCGGGCGGCTCTTCCCATTTGCTCAGCAGCAGATAGAGAGTACAGGGTCCTGAAGAAATAGTGGAACCTACAAAAACCCAATCACGGCTTTTAGACAAAGCGAAAGAGCCTCGCAGCTTGCAGTTCACAATTTAGGCGTCTTTCCAATTTCCCGGAACGTGGTGAAAACCGGCGAGTTAACAATTTAAACCCTCAAAGGAGAATTTCCCATTTTCTTTTTCCTTCTTTTTGGTTTTGTCTTCGTACGAAACGATGAAAAAATAGGAAGAAAAGAAACGGAAAGACTCTGTCAACACCTCGTGAAAAGATCTGCATTACATGACAAAAGACATGCCCATTGGATCATGACAAGCCAGCTAGTTAAGTGAAAGATAATCACTTGGTGGCCAGCAAACAATGGAAAATATGAATTGATTATGGTACAATTATGAGAGAGAGAGAGAGAGACCTTGCTGGAATGAGTTTAGATTCTCGAGAGAAAGGGAATTAAAAGGTTGGGATGAAAAGGGGAAGTAAAGTGAAACCCTCCGAAAACACGAAGCCGTCCAATGGGGAACTCAGTAAAAGGCTGTGCCTCCAAAGATGAAAAGAAAAGGAACAGCCCATAGCATTGTATGGTGAAATCTCTATCTCCGTCTGTCTCCCATTACTCTCTGGAGCGACGTGTCCTCAAAAAGAACGATACCTCAGCGTCTAAACATGTCAGATACTCTCGTGATGTGTTTCTCTTTTATCTATCTGCTTCTCCCCCGACCTCCTTCTTCAATCCCAGCCCTTACTTTCTGGTGACCGAATCGTCAATTAGTCATTTGTGTTCTCCCATCACCACAAAATGGACTTCCTCTGCTCTCCTCTGCAAAAGCCAAACTCTGTTAGCTCGCACCCAATGAACGAAACTGTTGATTCATTCCAGTGTTCACAGACGCAAGAATTTCTCTCTTCGGCTACCAATTCCCGAAACCAAACAAAGTGGACGTGCGAAGGTTATTGGGTCTGAAGAAGAAAGAGCCATGTGTGCTTTTCTCTGCAGGCTGCTCTGTTTAGACATTAAAGAAAGAGAGAATGAAAAGGAAAGCATATTTAATTCTAGGGGAGAATAATGTTGTTCTCGCTGGTTCAGGCTAAGTCTGTCAATGGCTAGAGGTCTAGTAGGTAGCCAGGGAACCTGCTTTGGGGGGGTTTGAAAAGATCTTATCGGACGGTACGAGCATCTAATGGGGGGTAGACCTCGCTTTCATGGATCAGTGTTCACTGTTTCCTCAATTATTTGTGCCCTAATCCAAACTGGCTTCTTTGTTTTTACTGTCCTGTGTTCTGCAACTCTGGAAAATACTGCCCAAAAACATGATTATGGGGGTCCTCCTTCCCCCATGCTTCCTCCGCCATTGGTGTTGGGTAAATGATTAAATCGTACCTGCTTATTACTAGTATTACTTAGTTTATTGATATTTTAAAGATTCGTATCGCACTGATTTATGTAAAGAAAAGTGCTAATTGAATCCGTTTGAAATATTAAATTTAATGTAAATTTTATATTTTGAACAAATTTTTAATTAGGTTGAGAGGTCTTATTAATTTTTTAAAATATTATTAAAAGACTAAAATAGCTTTTTATAATTTAAAATAATATTATTTTGAAAACAAAAAATTACTGGCCAAAAAAATAAAAAATTAAATCATAAAAACTTGACATTATATAGTGTGTATTTATAAAAAAAAGTTTTACATAAGAAAATCCAAAATATATATTATCTCATTAATTGAGATATTGGGAGCGGTGATGATGATAAATTTATCACAATTAATCGATGTTTGAAAATATTAATATCCAGAATTGACAATACATAATATAATATTTTATGCTACCTCTAATATATTGATAAAAAATTTATGGGAACATAGACTTTTTTTTCGTAATGGGAACGGGAATGTTTTAATTACCTGGTTTTAGCACAATTAAATTGATAATTTCTTGAAGGAAATTTTTTTTCCTTATAGGTAAAAAATCCAATCTTAATATATTAGTATATTTCAGCATCAAATTTATCATTTCTTTCTTAAGTGTTTTATTATATCTACCATATAGACGTTCTTATCACGTTATATTTTTTTAATCTAATTAGTAAGATTGATACTAATAACTAATATGAACTTGTATTAGATGTCTAAATAATTTTTCCAATATTTCATGGAATGGATGAAGTGGTATGGATTGCTTAATATAAATTTACACAAAAAAAAGTCAAACATTTTAGTTTTTTAACAACATATGAAGCAAGAATGCATAAAACCGACATATCATCTGGTGGCATTTAAAGAAAAAAGAAGTTAGATCATGAATTGATTGAAACAATTACCAATTGGCTAACTTAATGGGACATTTTAGTCTTTTAACAGCATTAAAAAATCTCTAATAAGACCTCTTAGCCTAACTAAGGATCTGTTAAAAGTACAAGACTTAATTTTAGTTTTGGTCCCTCAAATTTGCAATCATAGGTTTGATCTCTCTAAAAACAAAATGATACGAGTTTTTATTAGATTATAAGGATTAATATTTTAAATAAAAAGAAACTTATGGAACCAAAACCTGTTATTTAAAACTTGAGAAACTAAAATTGAAACGAGAATTAAACTTGAAGGACCAAAGTTTATATTAATTTTTTAGATTTTAATATTTCAATCAGATTTAATTGGGATTTTCTCTTTTTATAATTAGTCCTGATTTTGATTTTTTTTTCATAAGAGTCCTAATCTTGATTTTAATTCTATAGTTTTCGAGGATAGGTTCTGTCCCTGAAAAAAAAATTCAAATTTTTATTAAAATAAAAGGATCAAATGAAGAGAAATTTAAAAATCAAGACACGTTATTTGAAATTATAAAAATTAAAATCAAAATGAAAGAAACCAAATACTCCTCCGGTCCTAATTATAAGACTCAATTGACTTATTTGAGGAGATTAAGGAAGTAAGTTAAGTTGGTTATTTATAATAAATAAGTGTTGTTATTCCTAAAATATCCTTGCTAATTAAATATATTGGCTAAAACTATCATTATTAGAAGGATTATCTTGGAAAAAAATACATAAATATAAGAGAGAAAATGAATTGGGTCTTATAATTAGGACCAAATAAAAAGTCAAATTGGGTCTTATAATAAGGACCGGATGAGTACTTTTTTTGACCGGAAAAGAAACCAAATACTCAAAGCATTATATCACCTATTTTTTTATCACTAATATTAAAAGCTAGTATAACATTAGTATTTGTTTGATGCTGCTTATTATAAGTTCATTCAAACATGTCAATACAAAACTCTCATATATATTTATTTTATATATTACACATCAGGATTAAAAAGTTATGTCTGGGATTGTTTGAGATTGTTTATAAACAGTTTTTTAATCATAATTTACAAAATATAAGGTAAATATATAAATTTTTTTTGATTTACATAAAATTTGTTTACAAGTGATTTTAAGCTTTAAAAGTTTCAATATTCATTTTAAACAAGCCCTTAATAGATTAGATAAGATATCTTACTGTTTGGCTCCTTTTCAATAAGTATAAAAGTTCTCTCATTTTAATAATGTTCAACTTCTTATGATGTTGATAATTTATTATTACATGTGTTTTTTAATTATTCTTAATTTACTTGTTATTCTTTTAATCGTGTAGATTACTAATTAAGTAATATTTTTTTAAAAGCTCCATTATAAAAAGATGGTTTTGACGGTGAGACTACATTTAGAAGACAAAATTCAAAACGTTAAATTTTAAAACACTGGAATGACTCGAGGTATTCGAATATTTTACTTTTTATTTTTTTAATCTGGTGATAAACATTATAACGTTTAATATTAAAATATAGATACATGTATATATGTATGTATCTAAGACTGTGTGTGTTATTTTTTAATTTTTTTAATGGTGAGTTAAATGGATTATCTTGTTTAACCCGCAGGATGAGTCAGGTTTTAATTTTCAGTCCACGAGAGTTAAATGACTACAAAACGGTTCTATTTTTCCGGTCATAAGATCCTTATATTAGTATGTTTAAAGATATTATATTTAAGACCAGAAAAATAATTTTCTTAACCTGAGGAACTGGTGATTTTAGATAAGGAAGTCATATTTGAATTTTTCTTAAAGTGAAAAATTAAAAAAACTCTCCAACACAACACTATGATTCACACGCGCGCCCACGGATTTCTCCTTGCTGCTTTCTCCCCCTTCCTCATATCATAAGAGTAACACTGCTTCCATTCAAATTCCCTACCCATTCCCATTGTATTTCTCCTCTCTGTTACCGATTTAGCACTTCTCTCGTCCCAATCTTAGGAAGAAAATATGTCCCTTAATATAAAATTAGTTTGATTTTTAATTTAATTTTAAAATAAAACTCAAATTTATTTTATCTTTTATATTTATCTAATTTTTTTAAGTAGTCCCTATAGTAACTATATAAATTAAAATTCTATTAAATGATGGTTCTAATTAATACACATGATTAGTAAGAGTATTTTAGGAAAGATAATATTTATTTATTATAAATAAATAATTTAACAAAATTCTTTAATCTATTAAATTAATCAACTAACTTTTAAACTCCCTCTAATCCTATTTATAAGTTTTAAATAGAAAAATTACAAATAAGGACCCCTTAACAATATAAGGGTGTGTTTGTATAAAATTAAACCGTGGTTTAGAAAAGTGATTCTGGAGAATAAATTAGGGAAGAATAGATTTTTTGAAAAAGTGATTTGAGAAGTGAGAGTGTTTGGATAGTTGTTATCAGAAGCACTTTTTATATATACAAATTACTAAAAAAAAAACATAAGTTAATATGATAATTACAGAAAAATAGATTTTATGATATATTTTAATTTGAAGGAATAAAATTGTTTAATAATATATTTTTATTAACATAATTAATAATACATAAGATAATATAATTAATAAATAATGGATATGTATATATATTTATAAATATAAGATTAAATATGTTTATAAAAAAAATAACAAGATACATATCCTATAGGTTCTCACACTCTCCCTTTTTTCTCCAAAAGCAAAAAAATTTTGTTTTTTCCAAAACCATGATTTTGGTTTTTGGATGAGTGTTTGGGTGATTTATTTCCCAAACCATAGTTTGGGGTGTCACCCAAACACAGCCTTAGTCTGAATTTTGACAACAATTCTTACAACCGATCCATGTATACAATTTTTTTTATTTGATGGTTTTTTTTTTGCTATTTTCCTTCTTTTTAATCTATTTATTATTAGCGGAGTACTAGGGAACGGAGGCAGCTCGTGAGGAGAACCGAGATACTTATGCCACGAGGAGTTTTTTTTTTTTTTTGGCCAGAGAAATATAATTCATAAAAAGAAACAAAGAAACAAGGGAAATAAAAAAGCCCAACAAGAGGGACAGCAAATTAAAAGCCCAACATAGACAGCACAAATTCTAAACCTAACAGCAAGATAAACCAAAAGGAGCAGCCCGCCGTCAAGTTCACCAGAGAGCCCCACCGTCTTGTCGCCGGAAACTGCAGAGAGGAAAACGCCGTCATCGGCAATGATGCCAAAGTAAAGGGTGGTGGTTTGAAAAAACCCATCCCGAAGGACCCATCCTTTTTGTAGGCCAAAGAACAACCAAAGATGGTTGAAAAGCAATCATGAGAACCCATAGAAGCTAGAACACCCACAGTCACCAGCAGCAAAGAACGACACCAAAGGAGGAAGATAACTCAACTTTGGCAACCCACCGTGCAGCACCATTTGATGAACTCGTACCCTTCATCAATGTCTTGGATCTGCCACTGCCGACCAACACCAACGACTGTCATAGAGTATTTGGCAACTGAAGTAGGGACGATCGTCGACTGAAACCTTCCCCCAAAACGCAAATCCAAGCCATCAGTCTAGGTTAGAACTAATACCTTTCATCCTAACATCAAAGATGAAGGTGCCGCAAGCAAAAAACACAGATCTGATAATAGCCGAAGAAACAGAACACACCACCAATAAAACCCTATTAACACACAAAAACAAATAAGAGACGGACGTCCCCTTCTCCGACGGAGAAGGCCGAGGAAGGGGACGCCGTAACGGTCGCTCGCCCAAAAGCGAGGAAGGTAAGCTCTCACCGCTCAAGAGTTTTCTAGAGAGGGAGAGGGAGAAGCTCGCCCCAAAGGCGAGAGAATATGCCACGAGGAGTTTGAGTCAACGAGTAATTGAGTTTTGTGGGTTCCGCGTAGCCTCCTTTCACTGACCTTACCGTACCATTCGGTCATCACCGAGATTTACTGGCGGACTAAAAAGATTTGATCCGTGTTAATTGTTTTTGAGTAGG